AATTTAAGACGTGAGGATTGAGCTATTACAGTAGGAGCTGTTTTAGCTAAGTTATACGCTAGCGTATTTATCTCTTCGGGTTCAAGATTATCTTCATTTTCCTTAATATATTGAGCGAGCTTTTCAATCGGGTCTCGCCCTGTAACACTACTATATATTAATATACGCCAGACTACTCGGAGTAATTCAACGCATTTATCTGTATAAAAAACTATTAGCAATGAAGCACAGCATGAAGAAAACTCTGTCATTAAGTAAGCAATGACATTCGTGATCGGTGCTTTTGCTTTTGTTTCGGTCATTTTATTATTGTGCGCAACATTAATAATATGCGTTATAGTCCTATGAAAGAGTCAATCAATTAACAAACCGCAAAAGTGTTGTTAAATATCTTTTCAAAACACAGATAGTGGAGACGTGTGTTAATGCATTTTCTAAAGTATCTAAATACTAATACCACACGCAATATAGCATTATATAATTCTTTGCTATTATCAATCAACATTGGTTTATTGAAATGAGATAGCCCAAAATAATTTAAAGTGTTTACGTGATTCCACGTCGCTATCGCAGATCATGAACATGTATATTATGATAATATGAATACAAGCCATCTCGCAACTACCACAAATGAATAGGCTTTTTGGCCGAAATATTATATAGCTATTGATCTCCACCATCATAACAGAGAACAAGATATCCAATGTTTGAAAATTAGTAAGACTTCACTGTCTATTGTGTTGTTGGTGTTGTTATTGTTATTGTTGTTGGTTTTTTACTCATAATGCCATAGCAGCTCGTAAATCTGCTAGTTCTGCCTCTTCGTCGATATCTTGCGCTGGGTTTCTCACAACTATGCATTAACAAACGATAGGTATACATTAAATATGAGCAAGCCAACAATAGACGACATGCAGTTAAACAGTATTACGCAACAGATTTGTTTCAAATAACCCGTCGGCTGTAACATACCTGGTTCAGTCCTTCCTAGATTCGGCACTGTAACAGGTGGAGCCTCTGCACCAAGCAATTGGTTGTCGAGTGCTTCCTGTTCTAATTCCTCCAATTCAGCTGCCAATTCATCCTGTAAATTATTTAGAGCGTATTAGTGATCTGTTATTGTAATATCGTTCGCAATAGAGGTGATGTGAAGGCTTGACATACATCGTCTAAAAAGTCCACTCCTAAGGGTACCGAAATAGCATTCGAAATGTCTTCTGCCAAATCCATTTGTTCGCGTATAGATTCCATTGTATCATCGACTGTGTTAATATCCCTGTTGATGTAAAGGTAATATTCATTAGTTAACGTATAAAGTATATCAAATTTACAAGCGGCCAAGCCTTTACATTACATATATTCCTTTTCTACTCAAATAGTGTACAACAAACATTAGTCCTTACTTACATTGATCCATATATCGACTTCATTGCCTCAGCCCCCACCTGCATTGCTTTCATGGTCTCTAAATTAACATTAGCGTTTTCAATAGCCATCACCTGAGTGTCGATCAATAGTCGAGACCCGGATATCTTCTCAATCTGATTCATATATTGTTTCTTCCTTTTCAAAGCCATCAAAGCAGCTGCAATTCAAAGTCCGTTAGAACTTGTGTGAAATCATACATTACCATGTCCGATTACAATAACTGGTTATTTTGCACAAACTAATAAACAGGATCGTGATGATCGAGAAGATAATATAGCCAAGGGAAGATGGAGACGATAAAAGTATGCATAGAGGGAAAGGCAGTAGGGTAAATGTCGATACACTTACCTCTTTTGTTTGTTCCTGCATTGAGTTTGGCCGTCTTTAATTCGCTGTCGATTTTGTTCTGTAAGAAAGCTTCGCGTTTCTCCAACATCGACAGGGTCTCCCGTAGACGAAGAACCGCATCTTTTGGATTAGCTTTTGGTCTGGCTTTAGCGTAGAAAAGTTGCATTGTGAGTAGTTAAGAGTGAAAGAAGAAACAACTTTCGGTTGACCCCAAACAAACACCTAAATGTCACAAGGAACAATTGTGGCGTGACCTAATACTGCGGCAACGCCACAGGAGTTTAGGGTGTTATTGAACGCCTCACATTGTCTAATCAGGTATTGACTTGTCTAATCGGTTTTTGGATTAGTAAGATGACATTAAGCATTTGATCATGCTTTTTGTAGTCTTTGTCGTTAGTAGATAAATAACCCTTCGATACTGCGAGCATGTTCAGTGTGTTGAGTTTGGTGAAGAGAGCATTTTTCTTTACCGATCTCGGGTCGGCTTAAAATGGTTTTTGTCTATTTAGCTAACGCGCGTAAATCGAAAACACAGAAAAAGCGCTAAATTACAAAAAAACGCTAACAACCAAAAAAACGGTCAGTTAGATGGGCAATAGACCCTAAAAGCGGACGAAAAGTTGAGACTAATTTCACTTCGACAAAACATATTAACCAATGAATGTCGAAGTAAAAAATGGCTCAACCTAAATTTAGTCAACCATTGTTTCACGGGAATAATGATAGCTTTGGTCTAATCAAAGGTTTTATCGAGGCGATAGATCTATGAGTGTATTGAGCATTCCCTTATCTAATTGCCCGCACGTTTTTAGTGTTGCCCGAACTAATATCTCTTCCTAGGGAAGAATATTTTGTCCGAGAGACCAAGTGCACAGTCAAGAACAGAGCTTTATAATATTGAGGGAAAAAACTGTACGGTGATAAAGTTAAAACTTCATCGGAACGGAATACTCGATAAGTCATATACAACCGGCTGGCCATGACTGTTCGACTTATCAAGAAAGTAATTTGCCTTATACTGACATTAGATCTAATACTAAAAGACATCATGTCTTGAGAGATAGTTGCTCTCAACAAAAATGTTGGTGTAAACACACTGCGTAAAAACTAAGCCTTTTATCAAATACAGTGTTGGGTTGGCCTTGCTATCAATTACTATTACAGCTTGAATTTGTTCACTGAGGCTTTTTGTGGAGAAGTTCCATTTAATTGGGGCATTGTCTTGTTGAAAAATAAAAGCTGTTGACTTAATAAGGTAATAATGTTAATTTTACGTTCTATTGAAACCAGCGAGCCAGGCGAAACACCATTATGCCACCATCTCCGTGTTTATAAGTTGGGAACCAAGCATATGCTGTTTTTTTTTGGCTGACGCCAGACCGCATCATTTGGATACAAGAAAAACGGGATTCGTCGCTCCATGTGACAGTTTTCCTTCGTTGATACATTTTTTTTTCAGTCTTTGCATCACTGAATGCGTGTTTCCGATTCTGCTCAGAAATAAAAGACTTGCTCTCTCGAACACGACCGTGGAAACCGGCTTCATACAGATAACAGATTGTTAAGTGTTCGTTCATTTATTGAACAAGTTTATCAGCAGCTGTTTGTCTACTTTTTCGCACTTCTTGAGCTAAGTATCGGACATTTCGGTCAGACATTGATCTCGGCCTCCGCTTCTAGATTAAACCTTACCTGTTGTTTACCACGAAATGCGTTTATGGCACGAGTAACTTGCGATTATGAATGCTCGAGACGTTTTACCACAATCCCGTTACCCAATTATTCTCCCATTTCAAAATCTGTAAGTTTTTATTTAATGGCATATTTTTTTTCAAAATATAAAAAGTTCAGAAGGTCTACCTTGCTGGAAATTTGGAGGCCAGAATAAAAAGGTAATGACGCTCTTCACTCAGTCAAGAGATAGTGATATTGCGGAACGGAGCAAAATATTACGAGTCCGTCTCAAAGCACGACCATCTTCTATATTTGCAATATTGGCAGAATGAGTAATGACTCGTCGTGAAATTAATGATGAATTTAGCGCACCTTGCAAATAATACAGACACAAAAAGTTGCAAGACGTTAGATAGTAAAATACGAATGACCTGGAGCCGACTTTTTTATCTTACGAAAAGCGTTAAAATTAGGTTACGCGACTCGAACATTTATTTAAAATTTTAACATTCGTTGAGAAATAGATTTTTATGGCACTATTCGATAATCCCCTAATTTGCGTTTAAATCGAACATCGGGATTGACATCTTTGAATTGTCTTTGAAGAACATCAACTTGTAGGCCGCATTAAACCGCTCTTTAACCTACACGACTTTGATCTTTTCTAAGTGGTTTCTTTACTGGAACAGACAAAGAGAATCTAGTTTAGTAAGTAATTTCGCGAGACGTTTTCAACCAAGTGTCTTGTTGAAACTAAAGTTATATTTGCGGCTCTCTGAAGACTTTTCTCAAGATCTTTGGTAACTTTAGGATGTCCATCTTCGTGATAATACAAGTTAACTCTGCCTATACCGAACCTGGATATACCGAACTTTGGATATACCGAACCAGAATCACCAGACCCGTTTTTTCCTAATCAATAAATTCGATTATAACGCAAGCTCTGGTTATAACGAACTCTGGTTATAACGAACTAAAATTCTCCAGCCGGCCAGTTCGGTATAGGCAGAGTCCACAAGGTTTGCACACGTCCATTCTTTGACCGGCATTATTTTGCTTGTCAATGGAATAACACGTGATTAGGCGTATGCATATAGCGCGCCGGACCACAAGCTGATGACGTGAAACGTTCTCTTGATTTACATTATCGAAGAAGACTACAATGGAGTTCAATTTCGATTTTGATGAGGACGATCCGCTTGTACAGGCACTGGTTAAGCAACGAAAAACACAACCGCAGAAGACGGTTGTAGATTACATTCCAAAGCATGATTATGCAGAAGTAAGTCGAACGAGCATTACGAATAACTATAACTTTCCTTCTGGTCCATTTCTTTCACACAAATTCCTCCAACAAAGTGGTTTCATGCTCCGAATCCCATTCCTCCGTCCGTCCTTTTACAAACAAAACACGGTGCAAACCATCTGAAATACTCAATTGAATATCATTACGCTCATGGAAACCATGCAAAAGCGTTAGAATTATCGCTCGAGTTTATAAACTTTGTGAAATACAGCTCGGAAAACGTAAGAAACTTACATGGAACGAGAGATTTGTATGAGACAGCAGCAAGAAGTGCTGTTAGATTAGGTGACTATGAGCAAGCAGTTGAATTTGTTAACGAAATCGTGAGTATCCGACTGAGTAAAGTGAACGAAGCATATATATTTTGTGGAGGTGAGATCGTATCAGCGAGAAGAGTAGAAATGTTAGTGCGTTGACATTTACTTTTTTATCCTTTATATACTTTAGGACAGCGAAGAACCTGGCCACTTTCAACTTAAGGCAATGGTTTATTTCAAAGCTAAACGATACGTAGGTAACATTATTTTTAGTCTGTATTTATATATATAATCTATTCCGTAACGGGAATTAACCGTACTGAGATTCATCATAGCTTACTTATCCTTAACTACTCCATCGATAGCCGCGATAAAGAATAACGTATCCTATCTCGATCTTCGAAAAAACGATTTCAGCGCATGGAAGAGTATTGGGCACTGCCTTGTTGCTCTGTCTTGTCCACGGCGATACCAGACATTCTCCGGCGACCTACCATCCACCACCATATCCACTCTAGCACTTCACTCATTCCGCAAATCATTTACTATCTTGACATCTTCGCTATGGCCAAACGTTGATGTCATACGTAGTAGATACGGAAGGGAAAAGCGAGAGTTAGAGGAGATGATTGAAATGCTGGAAAAATTAACACCATATGACGGCAAACCAGAGATGACGGAAGATTTGAAAAACTTGGAAGGAGCAAAAATGCAAAAGAAGGGAGAAGAAAATATGAAACATCCTGAAGACGGTGAAGATGAACGTAGATATGAAAACATCTTCACGAAGGAGAATTTAATAGAGCAGGACGTTTCTGAATTTCAGGAAGCCTTGAAAGGTGTAGAAGAATGGATTCTGAGAGAGTGTAGCGAAACGACCACCTAACTGACTTCAGGTATAAACAAGGTTTCCTGAAGTAATATAAACATTAAAACAATGCAAACGACTCGCAACAATTAAATTATGAAATATGGTGAAAATCAAAATAAAAAATCAAAAAGGGCTTCCCCTAGTCTTGGAACTGTTGGTTGCTTTGAAATTTAATCCGGGGCTTTCCCATTAGTAGGAGAAACTAGTTAAAATAAAATAGAAGTCGGTAGACGCGACAAATCGATATCCAGTACCCTACCAAATTTTGCAGCCACACGTTTATTTAAAATTACTTTATTAAATGAATTTATTGGATAATAATATCTGGGTATTAATATGTACAAGCTGTAAAAGACCGTTAATCATACTCTTGAAAGGTGTAGCCATTTAAATTTTCATAAAATGGCAGATATTACGTTCAAATGAGTTTGATTCAGCTTCCCTTAAAGGGGCTGATAATGTATTAGTATTAGTATGTTTAAAGCAATGAACCATATTTTCATGAGTATCTGGGCCAACCTCGTTGATGAGAATCAAATAACAAATACTCTCGATCTATAAATCATCCCTGCAACCACTGACAAGTGTATCTTGTCGAGTAATATTGCTCTCACTTGACAAAGCAATGACATCTTACATATATTCTAGATCTTGTCTTCTAACTTTAATTGTTTAATACTAAGTAGTCGCCATGCTAACATTACATACTCCATTAATAAATGTATTCGGAAATTATTTAAACTATTTGTGTTCAAATTTTGTTGAGAAATGATAGAGAATAAATTTAAATGTAAATAATAACAACAATAATAATTGGTTTTATTATATACATTTTGTGTAACCATGAGATAATAGTTAAAGCTATTTATCGCGAGGAACTTTTACTCACAACGATAGTTAAAGCTATTACTGTTGGTCAAATGAATAATTTTTTTGAACGTGGAGAAACAATTGGTGTATGGAAGTGTGGATTAAGCGAAGGGGAAATTGCAGTAGTTTGAACATAAGCAATTTTTCAAGAGGACAATACTCCAATAAATAGTAAAAAGCTGTGAAAAAAAAAGTAGTAAGTCTTCCTTGGCCTGCACAAAGTCCTGATATTAACCGATTGAACATCTCTGCAATAAACTTGAAAGAAAGTTCGGGCTCATAAGTTCTTACCAAAAACCATCACGCCCTATACGACGTAATCTTTTCTATACTCGTATCTAAATAAGGGTACTTACGATAGAATAACAACAACAATTAAACTATTGCAGAATCGAAGGAGAAAATTCAATACTATTTAAACAGGGCTGTCTTCGATTTAGTGTTTCGACTAGTCGAGTGCGTCACTTTTTCTAATTAAAAAACAATTAATTTATTGTTCGAGAATCTCTAATTTTTTATCGCAGCGACGAGTTAAAATTGATCTACTGCGTTGATAGATTTCTTCCGCTATATTTCAAACGGGAATTATTTCTAATTAACAATCTTGTGAAACCACCGGTCACGTAGAGTGTCAATAATTAGTATCAGCGAACAGATAAAAACAAAATAGTGAAGTAAATAAGAGTTTCGTAAGGATAATGATCGTTTATTATATCCGAATATTTCAGAATCGAATATTATTTAAGTCACGACATAAACATTGGCAACATGACATGAGGATTTTAGACGGTCAGGAAGGGTTGCTTATATACAGTCTCCCCGAAAAGTAATGCCGGGGTGTTTTTTTTTTTATTTTTACAATGCGAGGTAGAGAAGGTACTATGCTTTATTGATCAATATACGTTTGACTCAAAGTAATAAAAACAATAACGCGGGATTCTACGCGTACTAGCAGTGACTTAATATGTCCTAGCGGCAGCTGATTGTGTCCACAAAATTGTATTACGTGGTAAAATATATACCCGCCATTACCTGTTGTCACCAAAATCGCGTTACGTTTTCTTTGCTTCTAAACTTCTTACCTCAAGTCACTATTCGTTCTGTTAATAGCGTAATTGTGACCAGAAATGTCACCAAAATTCAAAATCCCGAGTAACATCTACTTATTAATCGCGGATCAGCTTAGTATGCCACATAGACTTGCCGCAGTAAAGGAATTAGCACGTATACTAAGTACTAATGTCATTATTACACACATTCAATAAAAGTTCACGTTTAAATTTATTTCTGAATATATTTATTAATGGAGTATGTAATGTTAACATAGCGACTATTTAGTATTAAACAATTAAAGTTAGAAGACAAGATCTGAAAAATCTGTATGCCTGCTTTAATTGTTTTAATAGATAGACGAGATATCATTGCAAACAATTTTAAATACAGTTGCAATAGTAAAATTTTGATGGCTGTACATTTATTATAGTTCGTCTTGCTTTTTTTAAAAAGAGTTGGGGTTTTTTTGTTTCCCTTTTTTTTGCATATTTTGCTATCAGAAATTAATTACACACATGCGCGCGACAAAGTTATGAGCCGTGTTAAATCAGTCGAGTAAAACGACCGAAATATACTGTATATAAGCAGTTGGTGGCTTTCTTATAATATTATTGTTATCCAATAACTGTTTTATATTCCCTGAAAATTTATATTCTGACAAAAATTATACAGTCGACTCTTCTTTATAACTACCGCCTGTGCTCTGCCCCATTTTCAAAAACATATTATATGTACAACGCTGTCCGCCATTAATCACGAGATTCTATGGTGACATCACTCGACGTATAATCACGTGAAATATGACACAAGCATCTCGATAGCAGCGTAAAATTCACCTACTTTAACCCATAACAAACAAAGGCTTGATATGTCTTCCTCCAAAACTATAGAGTTGACTGACTTGGAGATATCACAACTTATCGATGTGAAAAAACAGCTCGAGGCGGTAAGTAGTTGGATATGCAGAGGTAATGATAAGAGTAGATACGAAGAAATATTCATAAAAAATTACATTAGATCATGATATAATAGGTATTTCGTACAAAAATTGCATAGGAATTGGCACATTTATCCACATCATATGGGCAACTCAAACAAGCCCAGAATCGGTTTCAAGACTGCGTCGAGTCTGTTGAAGAGATTCGTGACAGCAAATCCGGGAAAGGAATTCTTGTTCCATTGACCGAATCTATATCCTATTTTATGTACATATATTCTTCGCAAGTCATCATGTTATGTATCTTTAACTGTTCAATTTAATTACTTGTATGTTCCTGGAGAATTGGCAGATATAGAAAAAGTCATTGTTGATGTCGGGACTGGCTACTACGTCGAGAAGGTATTCTTTGAAAATCTCCTGGTGAAATCATCGTTCTGGCAAATGACTGACACCTGCCTTTTGTATTTGTAGGATATTCCCGATGCAATAAAATTTTACGTCGAAAAGGTTGACTATGTGAAGAAAAATCTCGAGACTCTGGATCAAACAATAACAATAAAGCAGAACAACTTACAAGGTGCTTATCGACATGTGGTTAAGGAATGTATCAGATATTATCGACTAACTGCTATTATTATAGCCACAATTGACGTAATGCAGATGAAGATTTCACTTATGGCAAATGCTAAACCGTCCTCTTCGAAATAAGTTTTGTTGTCGAGATACTGGATGTTTAAAAGTTTGCTACTGGACTTAATGCAAGACACACGCCGCAAGAATTTGTGATGTGAGTCAATTATGCTTCTATGCAATTAATAAAATCTGTCGAGAAACGACATCTCGTTTCTTACTAGGCTAATGACTGTATTTTATAGACATCTTCGCTTTCATATTTGTCAAGTAATCCACGCAAATTCGGATTGTTAAAATTTCAAATCAATAATTGTTCAAAGCGATGTATGCACCAAATGTTTTAAAACATTTCTCAGTATACGATTTGTATAATAATTTAATTTAACTGTGCTTCATAGACGTAGCGACCCTCGAAGTAAGCATAGTGGGTTCAAAATCTTGAATGATTCAACGACATGTCAATTGAACAAAAACATATGATACCGCAGTATTAGTTGCCCATCGAACAACTCCACACAGTAAACCACAACGCCAATAAATGGTCATAATAATAATGCGTCTGCACGTCTAGTATAAAATTAAACTTTCGTCAGAACAGGCAATGCAATGGCGGAGTATTGTTAATGTTTGCAGCATCAATGAGTCGACCAGTTTTCTGAGGAGTTCTTTTAAGTCTCCAAAAGAAAAAGAAGTAATTGGTACTTTCTCTAAATATAATATATGCGGTATCTACACATCATCGAAGGGTTCGTCGCCTATCGCTGATGAGATATAGGATAATTCACGTGCAGACTCATGCTTAACAAAATTCGCGAAGACTGAATCAAATAACCATATTTCACTTAAGTAATCTGACTTCTCCGGTAATGTCTTTAATGTTCTGAGTGTCTTTAATTTTGATTCTGCTTCAGCAGAAAATTTACAAGCACACGATGGTCATCAGACGTGATATCAAATTCTGTTGCAAAAAAATGGCAAAGAACTATTGTTTTTGTGCTAAACGGAGTAATGGTACGTTCTATACTTTATTTAATAACTTATGAGAGGTTTTATTGTGTCATACCACAATTTTATGGCATAAGACTTCACATAAACAACATAAAGAAGCGAAACATGATAGTTTATATTGCATAACATATACGCGTTCGAAAAGCTTTTATCTTATTTTTATTTTATTTTACTATTTTCCTGTACTGTAGGTTAAAAACTTGGTCGGTAGTTATTTTTGGAATTCGTAATGGTAGTTTATGATTCTTAAAATCCGCTTTTTCTGTTATATTAATTCAATCTTGTTTAATTGTCACAATTATTAAACATGACTGTTGCCCGTAAATAAAAAGTTTCGTGTGCATTTCATATAGTCAATTACAGATTGTCAATTATTTCCACAATGGTACCGTTGAAAATTTTGTTTATTTAATATGCAATTGACAAAATTTTATAATAATGACTTGTCGCATGCACGCAGCTTGACATTTCATAATATACCTTTTCGTAACTTATTACGATATGATCATAATAATTTAATTAATTTATTGTTATTCGTTTTCTCCTTGTCGCTACCGCAATCAAACAGCTACTAGAAAATGGTGGGGATTTCCCCTAAAATTTCTATTCGAATAACAGCCTTCTGCAACTCGTAAAGTAATACATTGACTCTGGTCACAACAACAGTTTCTTTTCTGGACCTGATTGGCTCATAGTATTTTCGTTTATACTAGCCGTTGGATTATCACTTTCCTGGTGATATAAAAAAAACTGTTTTATACTTGTTTCGACAATTTTTCTTAATTACCTTCGATTTTTTTTTCTCGAAAAGTTGACAGTTAAGATGACATGCCAACCATCCGACTGCCTTCATGTCTGAACAATATCAATGAATTTTTGATCACATTTCTCGTTTTCCTTTAATGAGAAATAATAAATGCATTGTTTTTACATGAAATAAAAAATTAGAATTAGAAGATTATCCGTTATCTATACAATATATTAATATAGCGCGTAGAAATAGTAAACCCCAAAATGTTCATATTAGTCTTACGAGAGAGCTCACTTTTCGTAAATAAACGAGTGCACACGGTTGCAACTGAAATCTCTCCTGAATGTCGGCGAGACACACAATTCAATTGCACACTGTTCAACCGAATCAGAAAAACGTGACTATAAAGGAAAACGACATCTCGCAATCTAAAAAAGGCATAATAGTTTTCTCTCCGATCCCTGTGTTGCTCTAATGCTAATAACAAAATATTATCGTCACCGCATTAATGTCGACAAGAGTTACTATGAGCTGTAAACCCTATAATATACACTTATGCTTACTCACCGGAAGCAGATAAAACGGCCAAGGATAATATCAATGTTCGTCTCATGCATGCAATAATAATTTATCAAAATTGTGATGGTCACCTACAAATTAATAAGTTTTGACAGTAGAAAAAGGAAGTTATCAATTAAAGCTACGAAAACGTTGCCAAAGGATGTCTCATAAAGATCAGCTATAGAATAATCTAAGCATTAATTATGTTAAATACAGGCATTGTCACAAGCATTCGGATTTTGAAAATGTCTACCAAAGCACATCAGTCAAAAACCGTTATGACAAAAGCATTCGCGTCTGTCGCTCCTGTTACAGTCAGTCTGGCTCCGTGCAATTTTGTTCTGAAAACTGAAAAAGAGCTGGCAGAAGCGTTATAAAGAAAATGATTCAGTACAGAATGTTCAGGCCGTTGTCCAAAAAGGAGAGGGCTAAAATTTTGCACAGAGGTCCAAGGAAAGTAATAATTGGTGTAATTATTTTGAATGGGTATATGCACGTTGAAGACATCAACCGCCAATTATGCTAACATCAAATTATAAAAAACCACACCAATGCGACTTGATATTCGCGACTGGAGAGTTCGTGTGACAACGGTGAGATTTGAACTCACGCCCACTGACGTGGACCAGGACCTGAACCTGGCGCCTTAGACCAACTCGGCCACGTTGCCGTATATCCAACAAATGAGGTAAAGGCATATTCTGTAGATCCTATATTAGCATGCTAAATGAGCTTTTCATTGTAGTAAGCTTCGACGACTTCTCACCGTGGTAAGTTTGAATGCGAGCGCCGGACCCACCGATAGAAACTAACTGACTTTGTTGGAATGTTTTTGCTATAGTTCTACTGTCGTTATCGGTAGTATGTTGTAGCCTTCATATTCAATGTATAGGAATGAGGACTCTATTTAGCTGTTAGCGAACGTCACATAAGCAATATTATGAGAAAAAGTCTAACTTCGTTAAAAGAGCCATTTTAAGGCGATTACCTCATACAAATTTCAATTAAAAGAAATAATACTAACGAATGATCCTGCCTTTTCACGTACAAAAGATAAAAGCATTTGCTTACTCTTTCGCCGTCCTATTTCCGCGCGCAAATTATAGGCGAGTTTGCAACGGCCAGACTCAACTTGAGAAGCGCAATCATGTATTCGTGCCTCATTTTGTACCAACGTGCCAATATTACACACTTTATGGACGTAGAACAACACGGTCAATGCATTCTACTAACTTGTGAGTCTATATGTTATCATCTTCATCTTCTGCAGAGACCATAAAAATAAACAAGTTATAATATCAGTCTCATCTTTTTCATTGTAATTGGTAATACGCCACTCTTGAACACGCTTTTACGGGAAGTAAGAATGAACTTCGGAACCTATTAAAGATGTCTGTTGGTTTGGAAATCGGACGTGATATTATTGAATGTAGTTGTTTGTACTGATAACCCTATTACCACACCAAAGAGACTGAAAGATGGGATAGATAAACCCATACATTCTCCTTAGCTTCCATCAACCGCTCTATAAGTCACCTAAGTTCTATGTAATACGCTCAGTAACCATAATTATTCTGATGACAAAAACGTTTAACTCAAAAGACAAAGACTTTATTTCAGGTTGACTCCATTCTCTCCATACAACGTACTATCTCTAAATACTAAGAACAAATTTGGAGTAATCATAAACGATAATCAATTCTTCCTATCTTACTATTACGTGTTTCCTATGCCGTCAATCCTTGCGTCATATTTCATTGGAGTGGTGACGAAGACCGCTCCGTATACTATGCCGCACCCATAGATTAACGGTGTTCCTCACTCTCCAATTCTGTAACGACTTCGTTCGTCATCGATAATCGCCCAGCTTGAACAAATTATCTGATGAAAAAGCGCTTTTGAAGAATTGTGGAAATAATGTAAGCGTGAAGATCAACTTGCAAAAAAAATTTTCTTATATATAGCCGTTAGTGTTTCACGGGTGACGTGAGCTCGAATCTCAGGTGACCTGTCAGGAAACGCGAGAATTCGACTTGCTGATATCAAGGCGTAAGTTTTACATTACATCGAGTAAGTCAATTGAAATAGTATCGAGTATGTCCCGATACATCTATACCAACGCTGGTTTGGTGTCCATAGTGAAGCCGACCGAAATATCAAGGATATCTTGTCCAAGACGAAGTGGTTCAATAAAATGACTAAATCCTTCTCTCTTTATGAATATAATTTTTTTCTTATATACAGTTAATTGTCAATAATATACACGCGCACTCCATTCTGCAATTATATTTTATTTCCAACTTCCAAACGCCGTCGAATGTAAAATACAATATAAACGTTAATTATCAATGGCTTCCTTTTCACTTCCAACTTTGTCCTATTTCTTCTTATTGGCTTCTTCCTCTTCTTTGGCCTTGCGTCGCATTTCGCGCACACCAACGAGACGCGCATCAGAGCGTGCCCTCCGAAGGGTAGAGTATGCATCGAAATTCTTTTCTTCCTCCGTAATCTTACGAGGATTTTCCGTAACCCATGTTTGTTCAATAGCCAAAACAGGTCCTTTAATTTGTTTTGCTTGGGCCAATTCAACCGGATTCGAATCACCCGGCTTGGGTTTGCGCAATTTCTTGGGAAAAATAATGAGCTTGGATTTATAGGTCTTCAAGCGTGCAACGTTAAGTTCGAGAGATTCGACTGATCTGTTCTTACGACGATGGTCTACCGGAATACCGATCGTTAGGGCTTCCCTACGGTTAATGCCAGCGCTCTATTTGCACAGGAATAAAAAAATAAAGATAGAATAAATTATATATACGGTTGTTTAGAAAGAACATTAAAATCAATGGCTTGTTCATTAACAGGACTGTCACAAAAGGTGAGAATTTCTTCATTTCAACGTCGCATTTTTCCTCATTAGTTTTTGATCGATGCTCATTCACACGATAAGCCAACTATCAAACTCGCCTGATCTATCAATCCGTTCATTCCTTCTCTTTTAATAATTCCCATTCTTCGCTACTTCAATATACTTAAGTTAAAACCAACCTTCAGCTCCTCCAGGGTAAATCCACGCCCAGCTCTCAACTTCATGTTGTACCTAATTGTGGGACATCTAACTGCAGGTCGTAACAGCTCAACCGGACGAGGTGCAATTCTAGCAGCCTTTTTGATACGATTGAGTCTCCTTCTCTTCTTACGTCCTGGTTGATCAAACCAGGTTTTCACACGGAGTTGCCAGTCCTTGTGGAAATGTGCATTCGGAAGTTGGTTGTTGTGTTTCATGGTTCAGTCTTTTTCGTTGAAGCAGAAGGGAAATAGTATGGAAGGCTTGTGAATAGATAAACAGATGGATGGATTGGTGACTATTGTGAACTTACCCTACACAAGGAATTTGGAAAGAGGAGGAAATTGATGGGATTGAGGAAATGTCCATAAAAGGATCAAAATGTGACGTAGTTGTACACGTGCTCAATTTGCTTAACATTCTCAGAAAAAAATTTCTCTGCAAATAAAATCGCACTGCTTTACATTTTGACTTCCTCCTTTTTGATTTTTGGGAAACGACCAGGCTTTCATAGTGAGTTGCTTTTCCGTTTTGGCTTTTCTCTTGATCGGATATTTGAAACGAGTAATGCTTATAATGTGTTTATCCTTTGTTTCGGTGCACTGTTTGTTTAATGACTTGTATAACAGAGATAGAATTAACCATGGATCCTGATCTCGTTTGGTTAGCAATACTGTTTGCTGTTTGGATGTTAAAGAATGCGTCTGTATAGGCTTATCCACATCTCGTTACAAATGCAGGCTTATAACCAAAAACCGCTCCTCCTTTTTATTGAAGCGCAATGGGGTACAACTCTCGGCTGAACGAAACAATCTCACCAACTTGAATTCATTCAAGTATTCGGGAATTGCCAATAGAAAGGTATCTTTTATGTAATTTTCAAAATAACTGTTTATTACGAGAAGCGAATGTAATTATTATATTGTTTATACAAGGCAATTGGTGTTACGGAAGCACGCGAAGGAAAAGGTGTCGTAGTAAGCACAAAAAAAACCAAAGTATCCGAACGCAAACCTGCCGATAAGATCCATACAGTCACTTTGAGGAGAGGAGTAAGACGTGCTGCCAAGAGTGTTACTAACTCTTTGACGCGATCTTACTATCGCCCTGATTTGCAAAAAGTAAGCTGGATTATTGGGTTTCTAAAGGAGGAGAGATAAGCTTTTTTTACGCAACACGCTAGAACTCGGTTGGATTAACTTACATGATTACTGGGCGTAAAGATGTTGCCATATCGATGATATTATGATCAGATTTACCTCTCACACAGTTTATCAGTTGTTGTTGTGATTTCATTCATCTGGTACATTCGATTCTAATACGAATTAATTATATACGCGTAGGAAACATTAGCTCGTATTTCTGCTATTTACGAGTCCCAAAAACCAATCAAGTCTCATCCAGCAAAGGAGGGTCGTCGCCATACAAAGGGACGTTCTCAACCGGAGGAAATCTCTCAACCGGAGGAAGTCTCTCAACAAGTATAAATGCAAGAGTGAACTAAATAAAATTATTTGCGATTTCAAAGGAGGTGCATTTGTTTTCTCTATTCAAGAGTATATGCAGTAGTCACTTAATTTTTCTCATGCTGGACACTATTTATACCTGATGACGGAAGGTCCTCTTATTGTGCTTTCCGCCTAGATTATATCTCAATGCACGCGCACATATATCTAAGGCAGCCTAGCACGTGCCTGGTAGATCAAGCCCTTTGGTTGGCTGATGTTAATTTGGAATGTGTATTCTCTATTGCTTTCTTTCTTTTTTTCGTTTGATAAGCGAAAGCTCATGTTAATCCTATGTCGGGATAATGATAAACGTATCCGTAAGTGAGAGTACAAATGATTTGTGGATTTCCACCGGGTCTTGATATGAATTATTGATTAAACCGATTAAATGTATGTTTATTATGGATCTAACGCTGCATTTCCCGTTGAATATTTTTGTCATGCAATATCCTTTTTTGTGGAATATCAATTGTTCAACGTCAGTACTGCATACGAGCGAAATAAAATTGTATAATTACGGTACTATCCCAACAATTAGTTGATGCTCATGTGGATGAACAGATTTTTTATCGTCTATAACCAAATTATTGCGTAGTTTCGTAAACAGAATGATAAACTTAATCTTGTGATTTTGATTGCCATCGATGCATACTTGGTGTTAGAAAATGGAAAATATGGAAAATACATTTAATCATCTACAATTTGTGTGACGTGAGGCAGTGCAATTTTAATTTGCACGCCAAATTTCTTTTGAGCCAGCACACCGCGTATATTTTCGACATGAGTTTATGGGTTGATAAATACAGACCGTCCAAGTTAGAAGACTTGGAAATTCACGAAAGCTTATCGGAACGATTGAGGACTCTGGTGAATGTTTGCTTGTATATTTGATGATCAAATATCGTGACACATTTCGCGTTCACTCTCTTCCATACCGGGCGGTGTGAATACGCGAAAAGTTTATCAGAGTCAACTTAATGATTCCATCGTTTCGTCTCATTTGATTAATGCGAGTGTAACATTCTTACAGTCTTCATCCAGCGATTTTCCTCATCTGCTAGTTTATGGTCCATCTGGATCAGGAAAGAAAACGCGAATAGTCTGTGTTCTAAGAGAATTATTTGGTGATGGGGTACTGAAGGTAAAGTATTGATCGTATGTTCTAATCTTTGGTAAGCTGAGAAGATGATAATATGACTTGTACCAAAAATGAAATTCATAGATCAAAAACGATGTGCGAATATTCTTAACTCCTTCACGAGTAAAGAAACAGCTCGTAGTTGTATCTAGTAATTATCATATTGAAGTTACCCCAAGGTATTCGCCCTATCAAGCATTACTGTTTGATCTCAATAATAATTTCTTTCGGAACCATTTACTTTATTTTACATTATATTTTCGTTTCTTATTTCCAACAGTGATCTTGGCAGTTATGATCGTCAAGCGACTCAAGAACTGTTAAAAGAAATCGCACAAACGCAACAAATTGCGCCTGATGCCAGACATAGGTTTAAAGGTATTCTGTACAAATGATTACGTAGCAAAAACTTTTACGGCATTTTTCGCTTTAATCCAACGTTTAATTACTTTGGGAACCCGTAACTTAATTGCTAAATTTGAGTTCGTTCATCATTAATACTCTCCGCAGTCGTCATAATTAATGAAGCAGACTTGCTCTCTCGCGAGGCTCAAGCAAGTCTCCGACGTACGATGGAAAAATATATGAAGAATTTACGAATAATACTATGCTGTAACTCAACAAGTAAAGTCATTGCACCAATACGAAGCCGATGTTTGCTTGTTCGCGTTCCCGCTCCGACAAACGATCAGGTCGTTTTCCGTAAAATCATGGACTGAACATAACACGATGATATAGTATTAATGCAAGTTGTTTTTGTCAGATTGTGCATGTCTTAAAGGATATTTTAAAAAAAGAGAATGTGAATCTATCTGAGCCGTTGATCACGCGTGTTGCTGAACACTCACATGGAAATTTAAGAAAGGCGATTTTGAGCCTTGAGACGGCTGTTACGCGGAAGTGAGTTTAGAATGGGCTTAGCGTGCCTTTTGAATGATGGTGATTGTGTGAACCTAACTACGTGTTTTATCAAGCGAGACATCAAAGGCAGATGATAAAGTAGGTTTAACGGATTGGGAAGTAGCAATAGAAGATTTGGCCAAGACCATATTGCTTGATCAAAGTCAGCAAACGTAAGTCATCTTTTATTGTATTCAAACTTGCACTATATTAATCGCTAATCTTTCGCGTATACATTTATTAGAATGTTGCAAGTAAGAACGAAATTCTACGAGTTGATCAGTGCATGCATCCCAGCGTCAACTATTTTAAAAGTAAGCACAAATAGCTTATTTGTGTTGGCCTAAATGCATTCGTTAATCTAACAATTCCTCGAACCTTTAGACTTTGGCCTTTTCACTGGCAAAACGTGCAAAAATCCCCGCATTAAAACCTCGAATTCTCATGGAAGCAGCGTTTTATGTAAGTCATGATATGTTTTGACTCAAATTTCAATAAGAGTCTATGGGTTCTTATTCGCCCTTGTATATAATACAGGAGCATCGTCTACGTCTTGGAAACAAAGCAATTTTTCACCTTGAAGCATTTGGTTTCAAGATTATGCGATTAATTTTACTGTTTGAATCAGGAATGCAATAATAACTCTTTTAAATATGCTTGCTTTTACTCTATACAAATCGTCAAGGATCACAACACTTATATCCTTATACCAAACTCACTCGTAATCACTCCACGTGTCTTGTTCGTTCTACGGAAAGATAAATACTCGATTAAAAACCGCAATTCTCTGACAGATAATCTAGGGTCCGATGATTATCTTACCATCTCTACGCATACATCCTCATTCTCTTGCTCTTCTGCTTTCGACCGCCACACCAGGATTCGTTTATCACCATCGCCAGAATATAGTTCCTGATCATATTGCCTCCAAATAACACAATTTATAGAAGACATTGGTCCATGTAGACTATCGTGCAGCGTTCCGTCGAATAAGTCATATATTAGTATTCGACCATCACTAGTTGGGTGAAACACTAGAGGTGGAATACACTTGTCGGACTTAGTCAGAGCAAGAGTAACACATAGCCTGGCTTTATTTACCAGTTCACCGTCATATTCAACCTATATCGATGGACAAGTTAATAACGTAAAATAAATTCGACAATGAATATATCCAACTGACCAAGACATTTCTTCCTTGATAGACATCCCATAAACGTAGCGTATTATCCTGACCCGTACTGAGCAAATGCAAGCCATCATGAGTAAAAGTCAACCCGTTGACGGGAGCAGAGTGGCCGACATTCCTCGCTGATGTGGGTGAGCCTTTATTTGTATAGTCTAAAGATACTAGACATCTTAATGGATTGCGAATATCCCATATCCGAACAGTCCCATCCTCTCTGAGAGATGAATGAATGCATGAGTCAAAAATAAGTTGTGCATGGCATGTTTTGAAGAGACTTGCGAATTGACCTACCCTGCAGATGCCAACATATTATGAAATAACGGTGACCATTGCACTGCTATGACGGATTTATAGTGTCCTTTTTAAATGCAAATAGAGGATATGAAGATGTGTTTGGACAAAATGAATGAACATGGCAAAATAAATTATGTACGTACCACTCAGGGTCAAAACTGCCACTTTATGACGTATATCACACATTCGAATAAAGTGATCTCCCAACGCGCCTCATGAACGAATACAATTGAGATTTCGTGTGGATTAGTTCAAATTTCAATTCGCATTGTTGGCTTTGTCACAACACCATTATTTTCCTTACTTGCCACAAGACCGTTACGCACGCGCGGTGACATTGCATGGGAATAAACATGAGATTTCAAATCAAACGTATGAACAGGCTGACGAGTCGGGTTAGTTAGTCATTCACAGGATTATGTAAAGATGAAAGCTCACGTTATGCAAAATTCTTGCTATTTAATATTACCACCATATAATTCGAATCCCAACACTTGACAGTCTTATCCATGGAACTTGTAGTGAAAAGTTTCCAACTGTGTGGCGACCAATTAATCCCTGTTACAGTAAATTCATGACCTGCGTTTCTACATTTCATTTTCTCTTTCTTTAGTGATAAACAATATCGACCAGAAAATCGACAGAGTTAATAAAAAGTTTTCACCTAGGAATTGTAACTTTCGATCGAATTGTTATCCGCGGTCCTCGTAATTGCGTGGTATTCTTGCCGAGATCATACAGTCGAATTTCCGCATCAGCCCCTCCTGACAGTAGACTGGAAAGAAAACCCAGTATAGTCAATAGAAGTTCTAAGCATTAAAATATCAGGCAATTTAATAAACGATTTACAAATATTCATAGACTACCACTATCGCTGCTGTACATTGTCTAATGCGAGAGTCAGTATCGGCCCTCCATGTTCCGCATGGAACCCTTTCAAAGTGCTCAGTTGAAATGATTCCAATTTACGTTCTATAACTTGTTTCCTTATAATATATGACGGTTGGGTACCGATTTCTCTGTCTAACAAGGACTTTATCATAATTAAGAAGTGTTTTTTGAAGCAAAAATAACATTTTATCACACGAGCTAAAAATGGTGTGGTATGGTTGACCATCCCTCTCTACAGTCACCTCTTCTATATTTGCAATTTGGTCACAGTCACCAATTATATATTTAGTCACTATCACATATTTCCTTATAGTCACATCACATGACGCATTTCAAAAAGATCACAATATTAATATTGCATAATAATAATAATAAAGTATAGTCTTAATGTATAGATGGCTTCAATCTTATAAGAGGATTACAGTCAACTCCTGTCTATAGCTATAGTTCCTTGTCTATAAACCTCAAGAAATTAATAGTCATCACATTTTAAATTTTCGATTGTTGAATGGAAGATGATGGGACGTGATGCAATTCTTCCTGAACTTTTTATTACAAGTGGCTCTCGATATAAGAAAGTAATCGGGACTCATAGTAAAAAATTTTAGAATCCTTCTTATACCGAGAGTTTATTAGTAACTTTCTTATATAGAGATAATTTTATATACTGTTTTTCAGCTCAACTTTCTTATATCAAATTTTAATTAGTATTTCTTATATCAAGAGCTTCTTATATCGAGTTTCACTTGTAAACAAAGTGCTAAATTTGGGTTTCCAAATTTACTGGCGAGGCGTATTCGGAATTCGAAGATATGCCTTCTTTCTACATAACATTAACAATACAATACGATAAAACAGGATTGTTTTTGCGAATGACACTCACTCAGGCATTTTCAAGTGGGAGCCTTGCATATAAGAAAGCGTGTTCCAATGACAAAGCGTGGTTACCGTACTTTTGCTGCAAATGCCAGCGGTACACATAGGACAAAGCCTTTGTATTAAACATGCTAATCGACGACGCTAACTGAAGTCAACATCATCGAACCGGGGACAAGCACATAAATCGGATAAATGCTTTGTATGCATTCGGCATTGCTAACTCCAAAAAAGACCATCAACCCTAGAAAATGAAGGGAAGATAAAAGCGAATAAACGATTAATGGATGTTACCTTACGCATTGATCATGCATCATAGCATAGAGAAGCCAAAGATCGATAGGCTTGATTATTTACGCCGCAGGGAAACTACAGAACAAAGGAAATTCTCGATAGCGCTACAATCGGACATGACGGGTGGAATTAACGAATTTTTATCAGAAACCTACTAAAAAACTTAAATGCCAAAGATGCCAGCGGACATTTTATCGCAAGCTTCTCAACTAGCACATTTAGTAATTGTCGACTTTTTTTTCGGCAATTAACTCCATAGAGCGAAACGTATTACAGATTTAACGTAATGTAATTTGATTGATAAGACACTTGACGACGTTTCACTGAAAAAAAAAAGCCAGGCTCAGAATACACCATTGGTATCGTGGTTCAAAAGAAAGTGGGGACACGATTATCGTAATGGACAATTCGCCAAGTCCCGTGCTTGGGATGTTTGCTTATTTGGATACACTTTCATTAATCACGTGATCGAAGTTACAATATAAATGCGCCTTGCATTATTTAACAATCGAGTAAAAAAAATGTCAGAAAAGATACGACAAGTTTTTCGCAGTTGCAAAGCAGCGAGTAAGTAATAATAAGATATTCTATTTTCTCTTCTCGAAATGCTATCGATCTTCCAATTGATTGTAAAACTTGTTTGATAGATCGACCAGCATTCGTTGGCTTCGTCACAGCGGGATATCCTGAACCAGATGAAACTGTAGACATATTATTAGAATTAGAAAAAGGAGGAGCTGATATAATTGAACTTGGTAAACTGGTGGGGTGGAATGTATTGGTAAATTATTTTGATTCCTTCTGTTTCATATCATTAAATCTACTGTCCATCCACAGGAATCCCATTTACAGATCCGTTAGCCGATGGACCGACAATCCAAGAGAGCAACAATGTAAGCGGCCAACACATTTCTGCCCTCATCAAATGTTACTCAGATGCTAATATGATCTTACTTTTATTATTTTCATTAACGCAAAGGTTGCCTTACAACATAACATTGATATTTCAAAATGCTTCTCTCTCGTCTCAGAAGCGCGTAGTCGAGGCCTCAAAGCCCCTATACTGTTTATGGGGTACTACAATCCAATATTAAGCTACGGGGAAGAGAGAATAGTTGAGGATTGTAAAAAAATAGGAGTTAACGGGTTTATTTGTGTTGATTTGCCGCCCGAGGAATCTTACAAGTTTCGAGAATTATGCATACAGAACAGGTGAACATATAAGCAATGAAAAAGAAACGGATCAATTAGAATACGGATGTGCATACTGACATGTTTATGCTGACACCAATAGCCTCAGTTACGTTCCTCTAATCGCCCCGTCAACACCGGACGCTCGCATCAAACATTTGTCTAATATTGCTGATACCTTCATATATGTCGTTTCCCGTATGGGTATCACCGGCACACGCACAACCATAAATTCCGAGTTACCAAACCTTGTTAGACGTATAAGAAAGTACACTAGTCTGCCACTCGCAGTCGGATTTGGCGTATCGACAAGAGAGCATTTCCAATTAGTTGGATCTTACGTAGATGGGGTTGTCATCGGTAGTAAAATTGTCCAAGTTTTGAAGGGGGCCGGTAAGCTTTTTAAGCTACTATAAGAGACTAATGGGATTAAAAAAGATACACGTTGGATTATGGCACATGCAAAGTGAGAGAAACAGAGTAAGATTGTGAAAAGCGAAGGTGAATTGAGTGCTAAAAAAAACGATTTTATTTGCTGAAAACTGTTATTGATTAGAGAAGGGAAAACGCGGTGAAGCGATAAGGAAATATGCGGAAGAAGTTTCTGGTCACGTTTCGAATGATGATAACGCGGCAGGTGTGAATTATAAACAATCCTCGTTGAAGAAGTGTGTTTACGTAAGTAGCATATCCCGCCTGGCAGCGTTAACCGATACATTTCTATATCAGAGTTTGTGATTGACAGTAATTCGACAAATACTCATCCCATTAATGATGATGGTCATTGCGAGGTAATGCTAGTAAACAGTTACTTTTTTAGCGATTCACAGTCAATTCTAACAGATAAATTTACTACAGTATGACATGCATACATTGAAAGCACGATTTGGAGAATGGGGTGGGCAATACGTCCCCGAAGCTTTGGTCGATTGTTTAGTAGAATTGGAAAAAGTAAGCTGTTCCAGAATTAAATATGTAGTACTAACGAAAAAAAAAAACAACGGAAACGTAATCTAACATTGCTATGAATAGAAATTTTGTTGAGAAAAAGTTTAATACATCATTTTCAAGACAAGAATAGACTATTAATTCCCCATCGTTCTCTTTGCTTAAACTGTTGGTAAAAGGCCATAAATTTAATACGGGAATTATAGTTTGGATCGGGCCATCTGTGATCGAATTGACAAAAACAAGTTAGGATTTACATTTCAGTTTGGACAAAATACAGTCACTCGAATTTTATTTTTATTTTTGTTTTTTATTTTTTATTTTTTATTTTTTATTTTTATTTTATTTATTTTATTTTTACTTTACGCATGTCTACATATTTCTAACTCGCTGTCATTGCGTCACCAACTCAAAAGGCTTTTATCACGGCTAAAGATGATCCTTCGTTCTGGAAAGAATTTGAAAGCTATTATGATTATATTGGCCGACCTTCGCAATTGCAATTGGCATCACGACTGACAGAATTTGCTGGCGGTGCTAGAATCTGGTTAAAGCGGGAAGATCTGAATCATACCGGATCACACAAGATTAACAATGCCATTGGGCAGGTAAGTTGACGGGGAAGGGATAATATGTTCTCGTTACGTGATCGTTACAACTTTGGGATTTTTTATTTCAGGTTCTTTTGGCAAAACGTATTGGCAAAAAACGTATTATTGCTGAGACGGGTGCCGGACAACATGGTGTTGCGACTGCAACAGTGTGTGCCAAGTTTGGTCTTGATTGTGTCGTGTACATGGGTAGTGAAGACGTACGGCGACAAGCATTGAATGTGTTTAGGATGCGTCTTCTAGGTGCTACAGTAATTCCTGTTGATTCAGGTAAACTGTTGCATTTAAGACTTGTCTTTATGGTCATTCTGTCTCTAAACGGTGTTATTCTTTAGGCAGCAAAACCTTAAAGGATGCAATAAACGAAGCTATGCGTGACTGGGTAACTAACGTGCACAACACTCACTATCTTGTTGGATCAGCTATTGGACCACATCCATTCCCAAGGATAGTACGCGAATTCCAATCTGTTATCGGTAAAGAGGCACGTGCACAGATGTTAGAAAAAGCGGGGAAATTGCCTGACGTAATAATTGCCTGTGTTGGAGGTGGTAGCAACTCTATTGGATTGTTTCATCCTTTCATTGAAGATAGAAATGTGAAAATCATTGGTGTTGAGGCTGGTGGTGATGGTAAGCTATGACAATCGATGTATGAACAGCACCGTTGGCGTGAATTTGGAAAGAGGAGAAAAAGGTTGTCCCAAATAATAGTTATAAGTTGCACCCATAACATAAAGTTGCTTATACAGACTAAATTATAATTGGTCGTGTAGGAATTGATACTGGGCTCCATTCAGCAACATTGACAGTTGGAACTCCAGGGGTGTTACACGGCACTCGTACATATTTACTTCAAGATGCTAACGGACAGATTCAGCCGACTCACAGTATTAGTGCTGGTTTGGATTATCCCGGGGTGGGTCCTGAGCATGCATGGCTAAAGGACAGCGGGCGTGCTCAATATGTGGCTGTTACCGATGCAGAGTCACTCATCGGATTCAGACAGTTGGCTGAGTATGAAGGAATTATTCCAGGTAAAACCAGAATAGCTAGGCTTGGCTTATTGCATTAAGAATTTTATTTGTGTGTAATGTGTTTTACGGTGGCGTTTAAGTTAACGGTCTCGTCTCGCTCACCCTGCATTCGTATAGCGCTTGAGACAAGCCATGCAGTCTATCAAACCATTCAACTTGCAAAGACGCTGTCACCAGATGAAGACATTCTCCTATGTGTTAGCGGACGTGGTGATAAAGACGTTGTATCTGTTGCTGATGCGCTGCCCAAATATGGCCCCAAGATTGGGTGGGATTTGAGATTTGATGAGATGAACGATACTCAATAAACTTTCCCAATGGCTATCAATGACAAATCACATCTTGTTACGACGCGCGAAAAAAGTAATGTGAATGGCGTTTTTATTAGAACAACAAAATGGGTTAAAACATCTCCAAAAATTATGCCTATGATATGGGCTTAATAGTTATCTTATTATAATTATTTCCTCCAATCTCCTTGGCATGCTACGAAACAAATTAACAAAGGTCTTAGTTTCGACCCCAACCCTTTTTTTTCACTAACAGTTTGTTGGTCTTGTTTCTCTAAATTGCCTCGATTAGGTTAATATCTGGCCCCCTCGGACCTGTTGTTCCCAAAATAGCATTTGCATTGTCAAAAGATTTTAGTTAAAATCTTGCACTATCCATATTAATACAGGGGAAGTTTGGTCGTTGTGCTTTGAATGTAAACATGTAGCACAAAATGTGGTTGCGTTATCCACGTTATACAACTTTTTTTAAAGAAATATTATGATACATTTTATTCTCATTGCTTTTCGTCAGTAATATTCATTTTCTATAGGATGGCATGCTGTCCGTAAATAACGTCTCTTATCTTGTAATAATCCTCTGACAGTGATCCTTCTATTACCAACTGTCCATTAGTAGACTATATGAATTAAAGGCTTTATTAAACATCATTAAATAGCCATGTCTTACTTTCACCATCCGCTAACTCACCTTCCTCACAGCAACTTTTTCGTTACATACTAACACTCCCTCGCCCTTAAATTCAGCTATTATTCCTTCTGCTTGTAACACGCGTTTTAGTTCCGTCAGCTTAATTTCTCCGATAAAAACTGGTAAATGTCCTCCAGTGGATTCGTCGGCAGAGACCAAGTCCAGAACAGGTACAGAAGAATCAGGTGGAAGATGGATCATGCCCGTTATATAAGCTAAATCATACTCATCAAGCTTTTGATAAGTGATAAATCCAAACTGTTTTAGTAAATTTGGGGAATAATATAGACGGAAAACGAGCATGCAAGAAGTATCTCAACATCCTGTAATCAGGACGCATCAAACATTTCATCGTAAGCATACCCTCGAGAATTTTAAAGAACTAACTAAAGCATCAGTCAGCTTCACTTGATAGAAATTGATGGCAGCCGACACATTAAGCACTTCTCCAACTGCTGGCGTATAAATATCTCGCGTTGTTGACTCGATTACTAAACAGTTCTGGGCAAAGTCCGATGTTGCTTCCGGAGATGCATGAATTATGATCTTGAGGAATGCAAAAAAATGTAAATGAAGAACAGAGGTAAAGAAAGGGTATCATTTAAAGAATTACGTACTAACCAATTTACGCGGTTGAACTTGCGGGACAATAGTCTTCAAGGCTCGGCCATCATTTAAGCCTTCAAGATCAACAAAACGAAGTTGGCACCGGAAATGGATTTCTTCTTCGTAATTCACATATTTCGTTGGCACATCGAAATCCTGGACCATAGTAGGGTCTTCTTTTTCTTGCTATTATCAAATCAATGCATCAGTGTATTAGATCTCAAGGTATATCATCCCCTTCAACAATTCTATAACAGGCTTCATTATAATCATTCTATAATCACATCAATTCTTATCGTAATTTGTGTTCTCCTTAACAGGCATTTCAATACTCACCTCGCCCTTTCCGTCTCTTCCTTCAATCTCCACTCCCAAGCCTCCACTCCCATTTCTCCTGCCCCTTCCCTCAAACATCTCTGGTGCCAATATTTCGCCGTAATCATCAAATCTCTTCCTCTTCTCCACATATGGAAACATTCTATAACTTTGCGTTTGCTTAAAAAAGCCTCCAGATTTTGTTGCGTCTCGAACGTACAAATCAAATTGGTTATATAAAAGCTCTTCCATTCCTTCGTCGTCATCGGAAGTGTCAGAAGAGGCGTCATCATCATCCGACTCTTCAATTATAGACTTCGAACGAGCGATTAGGGCTGCCTGCGCAGCTTCACGTTGTTGACGTGTTTGTAGTTCTTGATTATATTCAACAAGTTCGCTGCCCTCCAGTGGGACGCGTTTATAGATCTTTTATTGTCAAGGGATTTTAACGAATAAAAAAAATTAAGTCCTTAATATATTTACAAGCCTATTACTGTCGATAAGCGTATTTATGACTGTATGCCGTTTGCCAAAGTTTTTTGGTCTTGTTCTTCCCTTCTCCCTAGTTTTCTCCTGTAAACCCACCTGAATTTTTTCCCGATAGTCAAGAAGAATCGTTTGCCCAGTCGTCAACATCTGCCCGGTTTGATGATCGTCTTTCGGGCCACCCAATTGTCCGTTTTTTGTTTCATCTTTCTGTCCTTCATTCACGTCATCAATATCTATCTCTATATCCTCTTCCATACTTCTTCCTCCTTCCTTTTCCTGTTCTGTCGTCATGCGGATCCACTCATTATACAATCTTCTCGCCAACGAATTAGGCGGCCCGCGGTCGACAAGTATAACGTTGTTCAACTTGGAAGTGCCCCATTCGAGAAGTAAATCCTTTGCGTATCCTGTTTCCAGACTTAAATTGGAGGCAAGGACAACTTTGGGACCGGGATATTGATTTAAGTCTTTCAGTCGGTGACAGAGGCGGAGCGATCTTATGGGAAAAACGTGCAAATAGTTTAGAAAATTATATACTCTTCACATACAGAGTCCTAGACCTACCTAAACTCAAACGGATTCTCTCTCGTCGAATCGAACTGTCTATTAATTGCATCACTCATCCATTCAAGCATACTCTTTGCGTATTGCATCGTACGGTAACTCATATGTGTCAACAGGATTAATGGATAATTGACGTTCTGAAATCGCTGATCTAGCAGATAAGCTAATTCGAGTACACGGGCGGACGAATCTGTGGGGATAAGGACTGAGCCGGAAGATGCAAGCGTGGAATGTATCGCCTCTGAATGGCAAGACAATGTAAGGAATGGTTAATAACGGGAATGCGTCCTGATAAGCGACGCCTTTATTTCATATTATAAATAATAACCTCGACAAGAACAGAATATATACACATACCAAACAAGTCGCTCTCTCGCTGTTTACGCGGTGGATGTATAATTAAAGAATTATAAGCATCTGTTATCATCAGTGATGGTCGGCTTAGTGCGTCGAGGACTTCTCCGTTGACATGCATGACTGTTCCATCTAAGTGTCTATAAGGATAATATTCATACATATGGCATAATGTAAAATTAAGCGGCTGTCATTGAAGAATACGCCGCTTCAGAAACAGCATTCTGTCAGTCGTACCTCTCCTTCTTGTGATTATAATCAACTGCATAAACAACGTCTTCCGTGTCTTTCTTTATCCTCCATATAGTTCCTCCTATTGTATGCCCAGCCGCATAAGCCGTTATTGTTATGCCTTTACATTTACCTGTTCGTCATACAAGCAACAGCGACAACCAACTTTCGTTATAATGTGTCAAACGAAAAATTTAATCAGAACTATTACTCTTTGCTTTCAGTGCACTTTCTCCTCTATACCCTCACCTTCCTACCATAACAAAAACCAACCTCCAAGCGCCATGGGTTGCGAGTACTTCAATGGAGTTATCTTCTCAAAGGCCACGTCTACATTCTCTAACCCAAACACGTCAAACTCCATCGAGTTTGTTTTCGACAGATATATATCATATAAACACATCCGCCCCATGTGTACGACAGGGACCGTGGCATAGACGGGACAGTTGAGAGAGAAGTTAGTACAAGCGTAGGGAAACGCGCCGAGGTGAGGTAGATCGGGATGAGAAAGAAGGAGACAATCGACTTGTTTGGCGACTCTGAAGACGTTGAAGGTAAGGGATTATTAAGGACAGGATTAAGAGAGATCTATAAAGTCGACCAAGTCTTCAAAGATCTATTACCAAAATACCTCCTTAAATGCTTCAAATCCTCAACGTTAAACTGATCATTCCAACCACAATCAAGTAAAATCTTAACTTCGTTATCGAATTCTACCAAATAACATAACGCATCTTCGTTTTGTGCGCCAGAAATTGCGGTCACTACAATCATTGTCAAGGGAATAAATTTACCAGCAAGACTGAAAACTTGAAAAAATATTTTGCAGTCTGCCAATCGGAAAAATTTATAAAAAGTCCTAAATTGTATAGTACATCAGCAGGGTTTGCATTCCACAACGTTTATTATTTATTATAGCAATCCAACTGGAAAATAGAAGGTTCGTTCACCGCGCACGGAATTCTATTCCTTGGTCTATTGTAATTGATATCGATATGGGTAGGATTATTATTATTATCATCTATACCCTAAATCTTGGTAGCACATTCATTCTGTACAGATTAAGATGTCCTCTTTAAATGGTCAAGCAGTAATACTCAAAGACCGTGCACAGGCTCTTGCACATTATCCGCACGCCAGAATCGCGGGCGGTTTCATCTTTGTTTCAGGAATTTCGTCACGACGGTTGGATAATACGTGAGTTTATTTGAAAAGGAGAGCATAGGATACAAACGAGTAATTTGGCTCAGTTAACATGGTTTTGTTTATTTAACATTACTCGATTTGTAGATACGAAGGCGTAAGTTTTAAATGATGTCTATTTACCAGCTCCATACATATTTCCCCCGTGATTTATTATGTACAATCTTTCCATTCCTGCATAAGGTGATTGAACGCCCAGACGGCACATTAGATCTCGACATTCGCGCACAAACACGTGCCGTCATCGTCAATATTTCTGCCATTCTCGATTCTGTCGGAGCTTCCTTGAAGAACATCATCGATTTAACTGTATTCTTGATCGACATGAAAGATTATGCTGCATTTAATGAAGTTTACAACGAGTTCTTCTCAGCCGAAACTGGACCATCAAGGACTACTGTGGCTGTTAAGGAATTACCGTCGGTGAGCATTTGACTGGAGAATTTCTTACGAAAAGATAGTGTTTTGATAAGCGGAGGAATGTGATATAAAATAATCTGACAAGGTTTATTTCTTTTCTTTTTTTATAGCCAAAGTTATTGATTGAGATCAAGGCCATAGCTCTAGCGTCATAAAGAGATCATTCTGTGCGGTTCCGTATTAAAAACGATTGTATCTATACATAATACCAGCTTTCATTGAACACGTACGTGGATTCTGTTTATTAATCCTCATGCATAAGGCATCAACACTTTCAATTTCTTCCTTTGCGTCTTTTCCGCATACGCTGGGAATTTCAGTCGTCTCAACCGATTTTTAGATGCTAGATAATTACAGTGCTGTTTGCCTGCTTTTGCTCTTTTGAATTTACCATTGCCCGTCAGTCGAAACCTGTAAATACGTATATAACGAGTTTAAGAAGAATTGTCATAATCGGTTAAATATCATTTGTCCTGCACATGTGTCAATTAACCATAATTAACCTTACCGTTTCTTTGCTCCAGAATGGGTCTTTATCTTGTATGTCTTGAACCTCTTTAATATCAATGGTAACAAAAATGAGGACGTCTTAACGGTTCCTATATTCCCTGACTTGATCACAGCACCATTGTATGAAAAAGTAGAATAAAACAGGGAATTAATTTGCTGTAAGCACGGACGCGGAAGCGTGTATGGAGCAAATAGTCGCTTTGGTGCCGGAAAGAATGTCCGCACTAAGAAGACAATAGTTCATGAGCAAAACTTTGTAACATTGAGGCAGAACAAAGGTTTCATACATTACCGCGCAAAAATGAAGATAACATGGGTAACTCTACCAGACTAAGGTGCCACAAAATGGATTATCATTATAGCCACTCAAGTTAATGTGGCGCCACACGAATTTTGGCCAATGACAAATTTGTCATATGGTGCTATGCAAATATATGAATCATCTCGTCGGGATCAGAACAAAGATAGATAAACATGATTCATTTCGTAAGAAGAATAACATTCCTTCCCAAAGCTCGTACTTTTGCGACTGCAGTCGAGGCTGGTGGTGTTTCTTCTTTCGTAGCAGAACGTCAGGCTACTATGGAACATGCTAACGGTAACAATAAGATCGTCGCATACTGAGATGCTACGACACAGCGCTGCTATTTGGGTATGAATATGTCTAATATGCATGTTTTGATAATTAGCCACAGCCTCGCTTTGGAAGAAGATATCTATCTACGTTTGTATTCCTGCTCTTATCCTCTCTTCTGCCAATGCATACCGACTTCTGAAGGAACACAGTGCGCACAAGACTCATCCAGAGGATATTCCCAATTATAGTTATCTGCGTATTAGGAATAAGGTATTTCTATAAGCACGTAGAATGATTTTGCACTGAATTAACATGTTCGTTGACATTGTTGCTTTATGGGGATTATTAGCCTTTCTTTTGGGGGGATGGTGATCACACACTCTTCCATAATCCGGCGGTCAATAAATGAACGATGGCGTTGCGCGCATTAACAGACGAACTAAACAGAAATGCACTTTACACCATACATCTGCGACATGTTGATTAATTTACACAATGTTATGGAATAGCGTTTCGCACTTGAGAGAATGCAATGGTTTGTTACCATTAAATAATCATAATAGCTTATAGCTTCCTCCAAACTTAATGATTTATAAAGTTTACTTTTTATTGAAGATGTTGATCTTGTGGTAGCGTTCTTCTGTTAGAATTCCAACTTCATCTTGCTTGGAAGCGTATTTAGAAAACTCATCTATATATCATAATTTGTGGAAGTTCGTATTGCCCCGTCTTGGACTTGGAAGCGGTTCTACTCCAAGACGCCAATCTATCAACCATTCGGTTAATTTACCTTTTCGTACTTAGCAAAAGCGAAACGAAGAAAGATGCAGTCGCATGCGAGGCCATAAACCCGTTCTTTGATCTGAATTGAATTAAGATTAAAATTGCACCGAGGACTCGTTGCACGCACATTCTGGCAATAAAGTATGCTTCACTCTATCGACCTGCCATTTATCTAGCGATCGAGCTAGAAGATGTTTTTTTTATTGTGAGGCAATTTGTGTTGTTTCGGAATACGTGACGTTCGGGTAATTTAGCAATTATAATACGGTCTGCATACGCTGCAAGTAACAAACTGCAACCACCAAATGGGAGAATTTATAGCAGAAACGAAACACAGCATTCTGTCTACGCAGAACACGGTATAACGAATTGTATTTCGAAGAGCGTAAGTTTCTTACTCATACAGTAGGCAGTCTTCTTTGTGAAGTTTTGCGAGAGGGGGGGGGGGGGGGGGTTGCACGTTTTTATTTTTTACCATTTAAAGTGATTTAGTATTAGTATCCGATGAGAATTTTTTTAAATGGATATCCGTTTCGCCTGTCTTCACGCTCACTATTCAAGTTATGCTAGAATGTACCCTAGTTTCGAGTCTAGAGAATTTTTCGACAATGTCATAAGCTAATGAGACAGAAAAATCATGAAATTTGATCTTTCTTGTATTTATCTGAAAAGTTTGATTGGATAAATTCCTGGTTATCTGCAGTTTTCAAACGAAAACGACACCTGGCACTGAGTGAAGAGATAAAGTTTTATACTGCTGCTAAGACAGTAAAATCGAAGTATGCACAGACCACCAAGAAAAAAAGCGGAGCATAGTAGACATGCTCTGCTCTTCGGAAAGGCTTAGTAATCGTTGGCTCGCCCGTAACTGAAGAATCTGCATTTCTCGCGGAATAATGCACCGACTGGATGCCGCAGTCAAATGAGAATAGTAAAGAAAGGTTGACCAGTTAAATCCCCAGTTTGAGGATTTAAATATTCGACCTATCTTAAATTTCAATTTTGATTGGATACGATTTGAGGGAATATTCAAGTACAGAAAAAGCGAAGATATTGCGAATCCTTCTTAACTAAAAGTGGCAGAAAGCCGAAAGACGACGCCATACTCTCTCATTACGCACTGGTGCAACTGTTTCTGGTGGCGCGATCTTGCGTCTGTTTTCATCACCTCTGTCTAATGCTAGGAAAGGGAAATATTGTTTCATTGACTGCGGCAGCGCAGCAATGATTTACATTAGTCACTTGAGTCTTTTTGATCAGAGGATGTAATACGCCCTCAATTTGCAGTCTTAATTATCGAAAATATTCATTAATGTTCAGCACCCTCTCGGCAGTTAGATACTATATAGTCGCTAATTGAATCAATACCCACATTCCGCACCAAACTATAGCATTAGTAGTGATTTCTATATCACAGACGTCTCTACTTCATACTTGTCCACTGCCAATTACAAAATTCTTTACTATAATAAGAATGAAAAATAATTTCGCGAGCAGTTATAATACCATTAATATCCCTGCACTCACCTTTCATTAGCTAGCACACCACCTTTTCTCATTTGACTACTCACCGCGCAACCCATCCAGTCAATGAAAAAAATCCATGTTTTTAACACAAACCATTATGGGCATCGTTGTGAGTCTGTTTGGTAACTGTTTCTGCACCTATTACTATTGTCCATGAGACTTTTTAAAATTATAGCACTGAATCTCCAATCCCAGACGTAAGGGATCGCTCTAATAAAGTTAAAAGTCCTTCATCCTTTTGACAAATGTCTGATTAACCATACGTCATTGTTATAACAGAAATTATAATCTTGCGTACTTCGATGCAATAGTGTAATAGTGCACGAGCCAACATTTTTCAATTCAATCCCCATTGTTTATCTCCAAATCACGTCAAACGACAAATTTTGCAGTCACGCAATTCGACAACGATTAATCTAGTTACTCTGAAACCCTTTCATTTCCGAACTCGTTTATGAGTCCAAATAAGTATTGAAGATGATCTTCCGCAGCCAATTATTTTACCCTAACAACTCCGTCACTCCGATTGATGTGCAGCAAGTATTACACGCGTTGTATAAACGTACATCAAACGCTTATTACTGTTACAAATGATAAACCCGCATATATAGAACGGTGAGACTTTATGCTCCCACATAACACTCAGGTCGTATGAGAAAGAAGTAACATAGGAAACATGACAGAAACAGTGGCAACTATAATCACAACATATACAAATACCAAACCAGAGATTCCGTCTGACACACAAACAGTGTCGACGTCACTCCTTACGGCCGAAGTGATACCCACCTCTTCAGACAACGCAACAAAGTTAATCTTGAATACAAGTAAGTCGCCTGCTGCGCAATTGAACCCAGCAAATCCAATGCCGGCCAAGACACATCCTTCAACAGTCCCCACAACGAGCAGCAGTCAGCTCACCATGAGTCAGACTTTCGGCCAGCGTGAGCATGAATTAGTGGGAACGCAAGACCCTCACAAAGCTGAGGAAGCAATAAAAAAAATAGTTGCAAGCTGGAGAGTGCACCGGTAAGTGTCCTGGTTTCAACGATCAAAAGTTATCGGCTTGCCGATTATAACGCAGAGTATCCTTGATGCTTACTTTATATTATAGTCGGAAACGCGAATCCAATGGCATGGTTGTATCTGCTGAATCGCGAGACAAATTGCAGAAAAGAGTATGTCTTCACCATCAGCATGAGGAAGCTTGTCCTGCCTGGGCTATGTGGAAAGACGTGCTAAATTCCTTAGAACATATCAAAGGCCAACATGAGTTACTGACGAAACTGGGTGCACACATAGAGAAGGTGGATGAAAATTTAAAGATAGAACAGGTAAATAAAATTTTAAATATGGTTAATTTGATAGCAGAGAGTCTATGATTTACCTAAATAGGATTATTAACATATAAATTTGTAACTCACATTAAGGGAACTTCAGTAAAGAATCATCTCTGGTTAGTATTGGATACAGTGCACTGGTTGGAACTATTTGATAGAAAACATAGATATGGCGCAAATCTGAAGGTATTTATTCGGACGACCTATCAAATGATTTAACGTTTGATTACAACGTGATAATATTATTGTAATAAATTCAATCAGGTATATCATGACGAGTGGCTTAATTCAAGTACTAAGGAGAACTTTTTCCAATGGCTGGACGAAGGTTCCGGGAAAGCGCTCGATCTTAAAGCAAAACCGCGTTCTATATTAGAAAGCCAGAAAGTAAAATACCTAACAGATGAAGAACGTGAACACTATGAAGTTATAATACAAGAGGGTCGCTTCGTATACAAACATTCAGGTGCAGTTGTCCACACTAATCCGCGCCCTCGTAAGCAAAGCGATGCAGTCAGCTTTACATCCTCATTAAACGGATCAAGTCGATCACCCTCCCCAAGTCCACAAATACCACCCGGTGCTGTCGACGATGGTGTGACAGCTCATGAAGAATCTAAACCAACGGATACCACAGATTTTCTTTATCCTTTAAGCCCTATAGGTGCAGACAATGAAGAAGGAGAGAAATGGATATATGTAACGGATTGTAGAAACCACCTTTACATCGGAAAAAAAACGAAGGGTTATTTCCATCATTCTTCTTTCCTTGCAGGAGGGGCCATTCGCGCTGCTGGTGGGATCAAAGTGCGACACGGTAAACTTGAAGAACTTACTCCCAATAGCGGACATTATAAACCCGCCCATCAACACTTTAAAGCACTTGTAGAACGAATTTGTGAACAGGGTATCAATCTTGAAGATGTCAAAGTAGTATGGCCGAGCAAGAAACTAGAACAGAGATTAATGGCTAGATACGTTGCCTCTTGGAAAAAGGTTTTTGAAGTGCAGAATCATCCGTCCAGTATAATAGTGGAATCACAAATATCAAACGATCCAGATTTAAAAAAGGAAGACGAGACTAACACGAATGTAAAATCAAGTTCTAGAGAGGTTAACGATGGGTACCAAAGAAACCAAGGAACGCATTTTAGGCTCCTCAAACGTTTTGTCAAGATGCTAACTGGCGGTGCAGTACCTGCACAAAACTGCGATCAACAAGAATCCCCACGAAGGAGAAGATTCAGAAACGTTCGCGTATTCCGTTTCCGAGATAAAAACGACGATAGTAGGAAAGAACGATCCTTAACGGATCCATCTCCCAAAAAAGAGCATTCTTGGAAACTATCAGGAGTGCGTGCTTTCGCAGGGCGAATGTTTGGATCATCCAGTAGTTTGAGGCAAGACAGAATGCCGGGAGGTGACAAGCCAGATGATTTGACGACGATTTCACCACCGCGGGTTGTTATATCATCATGAGATTCCAACATTATACATAATATTATCAAGACATCTAGATTCCTATTTATTCATTATTTCTTATATATTAGTATAATCAGTTCATGGGAAAGAGCGAACGAACAGATCGTTTAGTAACATTCATTACGGGGGATCTGTGAACTACAATAAAAAGAACAATAATTCAACTAGCAACTCGAATTCGCTACCAAATTGTCATCTCAACTAATTATGATAAACTACATGGTAAAAAATTTTGACGACTAAACATGGAATCTCAGTTAGCCAACGGAAGTCTTCGTTAGAAAAAGATAGCCAATCATTCTCCCCATATCCCATTATAACAAAGCACAACATTCGAATCTAGCTCAACGACTTTCGTTTATACGTGGTTGCCCTAATCAGCACATAGACAGTTCATTCAGCAAAGATGGTATGAATTAAACGCTTTCCGGGCGTAGAATTGAGTCGAAATCTAGAGTGTAAAATATGTGACTCCACAGACTGGTTCTTGACGTATTATCACTTAGCGTACTATCGCGCCAATTTTCACTGTTGTTTGGATGAAACCGTCCTGAGTCGTTAAGAGCGACCCTTTGCAGACGCTTGTTTCTCCACGATGTTGTACACATCATTCTATAATCGTGGTGTCGCATGATTCTCTTTGATTTCGACTCTATTGCATAGGCACGAAGCTATACGCTCCTATAAGGTTTCCAACAACGAAGTCTGGTTTTTGTTGTGTGATGCAACCCAAATTCCCTGCAGGATTTATCATACAGTTTCCAATAAATGATACGCAACATGTATGGAAGTGCTAAAGTGCATCACGATGTCGTTTATGCGTTGATTTGATAAGGGAAATCAAGGTTATATTAAAAATTTCAAATTCAAATTACAGCGTCCTTATTGTATCCTCCCTCCAACCGTAATCCATATCCAGGACGACAGAAGCATATTGGTATAAAATTTTCTCCACCCAGATACATTCCTACCCCGTATCTTACAGATCCATTATGGCCATGCTTCGTACATGTTATTTGTGTTATATACAGCATCATGGCATTGTTAATATCGCCTGTGGGAACGCAAAAATCTGCTTCGCCTCACCATACAGTAGATGATGTGCGTCAAGTAGGTCAACTTAGAGAGAATCTTACTTAAAAGTAAAACGGAAATTGAGAGGACGGAGCCAATTTGGTTTAAAGTACTCAATAACAGAATTTCTGGTTGCTGAAGGTGTCTCGCAAGTGCGTAACACTAGAGCGAGGGAAGTGATATTTCTATACAAATGAGAAAACAACACCTGACTTTTAAAACATTGTGACTTATGGAACGTTTACTTAAAGTAATTATAAGTTAGCAGCGACAATGAAGTTGTAAAGTGATTGATGTCATTATTATTAATTTTATTATTGCCTTATGCTAAAGTTTTTTTCTTTAATTGAATAAAAAATTGGCCTGCATAAGGTTAGAAATCAGTTAATATACGCGTATTAAAAAATAAAACACACAACCACACGCAAATGTATGTAGTTCATGTATCAATAATACTCATGAGTCTACTTACCCCATCTCAGCCAGCCAATATGGATCCACGGCAGTAACGCACTGCATATACTCCTTGGATGTCATGACCAATTCGTGATACACAATATAATCGGGCGTGTATCCTAACCCGTACAAAGCACTTGTCGGATGTAAATGGCAGGGCATACCAGTACGACAATTAACATATTCTCCAATGCCTTTGATTCTTGCTGCTTGGTGGAAATATGCTGAACATATACACTTCCTAACTACATCCCAATTAGTACCGCACGAAGTGTACGGCATTTTTTCGGCCTTCATTATATCCAACAGTTGCGATCGGACTTCTTGTGCTTTACGCATTGCTTTAGCATGGATAAAATGTTTTGTGCACCAATCGTCACGATAACTGATGCACAGGTCATTTAAGGCAAAAAGGAAGATGCTGAACAATTAATTGTATTGAAGGGAAACAAGCTAATTCATATAGCGGTTTATGATATTGGTGTGTCTATTACTAATATTTCCTTCTAGCAGATAACAAAAGGAACTCTCTACATACCTATGAGATTTCCATTGCGTATAAACGTGAAGTAGGGTGAGGTGATCGCTCTCTGGTACAAAGAACTTTTCCCTCGCAGCGTCACTTTGTTCTATGCGTTCTTTGGGACGATAAAATACCGACGGAACAGATAACATGGACACAATTGTCTGATAAAGATATTGGTAATATTGATTGATGAGCGAATTTATATGTATAGTATATAATAAAATTTTGTAATAATGCATAAACGTAATCACCAAACTACTTACCAGTATTTCAGCTGTACAGCCCAATTCGTCGGCCACTATTAGCATTTTAGAAAGAGAAGGATCCAATGGAAACTCAACCATTTTTCTACCCAATGGGGTAAGCTCTCCTGTATTATCTAAAGCACCAAGAACCCACAGTTGATACATTGAATTTAGGATGTTTTCCTAAGGTAATTGTTTAAATACATTAAATTATCTTCTTATAGACTAACCCGCACATAAAGTTAAGCGAGATTATAAACCCTTCTTCCCCCATTCCATTCCCCTCGTTCATACCTGTGGTGGCGGATCCATAAAATCAAAATCCAGTAAGTTCTTCACGCCCAAAGATTTCAATAGCAGAACAACATTTGCCAAATTGGTTCTCTGTATTTCTGGAATAGTATTCACAAACATTTCATGAAGATATGCTTGCTCAGTATACAGCCGATAGCAAGTACCCGCCCCAGTACGTCCTGCACGTCCTGATCTCTGATTAGCATTAGCCTGGCTTATAGGTGTAATCTGCAATGAGTCCATCCCGATCTTAGGATTGAATACTTTTAGTTTATTGTATCCAGTGTCCACTACATACATTATACCGTCTACAGTGAGTGATGTTTCGGCAATATTCGTCGCGACGATGACCTTGCGAGCGTTGTTTGGAGCCTTTTCAAAGATTTTTGCCTGTAGATCAGCAGGCATTTGAGAGTATATTGGCAGAATGGCAAGCGGAGGAGGGTCCTCTAGTTGTGCTAGCCGCTCAGCGGTAACTTGACAGGTTATCTCGATATCCTCTTGCCCTGTCATAAATACAAGAATGTCACCAGACGGATGACCTAGATGAATAGCTAGTATCTGTTTTACCGCAGCATCTACATAATCTTCGCACGGTGTTTTGCTAAACATAACATCTACTGGGAATGTCCTACCCGGAATAGTAAAAGTGGGACAATTGCCAAAGAAATGAGAAAATTTCTCTGCATTCATTGTAGCTGACGTTATTATCAACTTCATATCTCTCCGTCTAGAAATAACTTTCCTAAGTAATCCCATCAATACGTCAGTCTGTAATGATCTCTCGTGAGCCTCATCCATAATTATAGCACTATAATTATCGAGATCGGGCTCCTTCAGTGACTCACGAAGCATTACTCCATCAGTCATGTACTTGATCACAGTCAGTTCTGACGTACAATCTTCGAATCGAATGGCATATCCAACAGTAGTGCCTAGCCTGCATTCCATCTCTTCACTAACACGCTTAGCTACTGACATAGCTGCCACACGACGCGGTTGAGTACAGCCTATTATCCCGTATTTGCTATATCCATCTTCGTGGAGATACTGCGTCAATTGTGTTGTTTTGCCGGAACCTGTTTCACCGACTACTACTACCACCTGGTTATCTCTTATCACACGAAGTAGTTCTTCACGGACAGCAAAAGCTGGGAGAAATTCCCGCTGTTCGCGAAGAGTTTTTGATCTAGCAAATGAGCTTACGGCTTCTGACTGTTTAAGATGGGAAGCAAACTGGGAGTCGCCTTTGGGATTCTCAGGCTCCCCATTTTGGGCTGATTGATCGGGTGGAGGGTTAGAATCTTCGGATGATTTTATCCCCATTATGTTTCCTAAAGCTGTGCCAGCAAGTTCTACATTTTTCCTTGCAGCCTAGGAATAATATGAAGCAGAGACTCAGATTCATATTTTATGACAAAAATTATACGTAACACATATTTGAACTTAAAATTATATAAATGCCTTTTGTCTCTCAATTTGTTCTCTCTTCTCCTTGACTAGTTGACTCCCTTTTCTTGAGAATACAGCCATGTTGGATGTAGGATCTTTAACTGGCTGCACGGCCTCCAATTGTTTGGTAAATACCACACGACCATCAAGAAACGGTGGTTTTAAGTCGTGGACTAACAAATGAATTCTTGACTATAAAACATATAAAACATAAAGATTAGTTGAATATGCGTAAACAAGACGACGGACTATGACGACACAATAAAATACCTCCAAGTCATCTTCAAAATCCAAATCGACAGCCTTACGTTGAGCTATTCCAGATGTAAGCATACGATTCGTCTCCCATAGTTCATTATCTCTATTATATTGTTCTTGCCTCGCCGACAACTTTTTTATTTGTTTCGCCGCTAACTCTTCCTCCTTCTTCTGAGTGATATCACCATAACCCGCAAAGGGATTATGCATATCATCTATTGCCTGTTAATTCGAACAATAAGTAAGAAAGGTGATATATGAGATAGCAAATACAATGATTATGCGACTATCCAATATACAGAGTTCTTCACGTACACCAGCTGATTCCTCAAGATTATACCAATCCCGATCTAATTGTCTCTGTTCTTCTTCCCATCTTCTCAGATCCCATTCGCTGGGCTCATCATCGTCCCATTCACTACGTTTTGGTGGCTCAATATCCATCTCATCGTAACCTGTAGATGAAACTCGTGGAGTAGGATAATCCCACCTGACACTGCTCAGTGGATGAGAGTCTGTAACAACAAATAATAGCATAGTTATATACCGTAACAGATGGACGTCTGACGTCATAGCAAATTTGTAAAATTTACCTTTTCTTGGAGTCAAGCCTCCGACAAGTGACCTTGGCGTGGATCTATAAACAGATCGTACCGGAGTAGTATCCCAATCACTTCTACTTACACGGGAAGAGCGTGGAGCAGACGAATCACGTAGTGACGAAGAATGACGTATTGCAGTATACGTACGATCACGACGTGACTGTGGATGACGATCGTGCTGTCTATTGCTTGCTTGACTGCTGGGGCCTATATACAAGTTAGATAGACTTCATTACTGTGTTATACATGTAAGAATCCAACCTTACTTCTATATCTATCTTTGTCTTTTCTTCTTGCTTCCATGCTGGAGATGCGAAGGTGTTTTAAATGAATATGGTCAAGTCTATTATAAACATATTAATTAATACGCCTTGTGCTACCGGTTACATATACTGTATATTGCATCGCCGTCCAATCAGGAACGAGACCGTATCAGAAGCAGACAGAACTCGCGTGATTCTTTGATGATTCGACGACACGCTGGCCGGAAATATCCTTGCCATCAACTCCGCCTTATACAGATTGCAAAGCAGCGAGAAAAAATCCAATGAGAAAAAAAGAACGTAAAATTTGAATAGAACGGTGAATGTGAAATTGTACCCGAATCTTGCGCAAGGCGCTTGCGGGCGAGACTAGACGGTTTTAATTGTACGCGTGAATAAAGTAAGATGATGATAAAACTCGAATAAATGTAAGGTGATGATAAAACGATAAAGTGATGATAAAACTTGAATGATCGCGTACTTAAAATTGAAATTCAACGATATACCAAATAACATAATCAACGAAACCGTGGTTGACGTTTCAATTCGAAAGATAACAAACCAGGTTGAAGTTCAAGACTAGAAAAGACCAAGCATACCATCACCATATGCGCACAAAATTTCTCGAAAATTGTTCTATGTGGATGCTGAAAGTTTGTTGCCACTTCCTTATTTTGCTACTTCTCAATACAATTGTTGAAAACCTTATGATATTACATCCACCTAGAATCTCATAGTTGTTATAAACTTTAATTGATTAGTCCCTTTGGTGATGTGAATTTCTCTTACTAGACATATGACCGCAGTGACGGCGATCTTGAGCGACTTGTTAGGTTTTACTTTTTTGCAGTTAGAGACATTAAAAATCATATGATATGTTGGATTAAAATTAAGCGCCTTCTAACGTTTGAAATGACATTAATGCAAAGTTATTGTTACCATTGTTTACTGGTTGACTTTGTCTAACAGATTCAAAATGCTAAATAAGAAATCTACACACCTACAATGATCAAGAGTCTTTTATTTGGAATAAAGGCAAATATTCAGGATAAAGTTGCTCGATTCACTTGGCCTGACAAAAATTGATATCCTTGTCGAATGATACAGTAGTTTGTTTACTTCAAAAATAACATTTTTCTCCCGAATAATATATTTCGAAAGTAATTTTCATTTTGAATTATTTTCTCTCGAATAATATAAAAATGGATACCCAAAACACCACCGAAATGCAAGACACTGTTGCTATATAGAGGAATCGAACGAGTATATAAACCAAACCCCCATTACGTTTTACAGCTCTATGGCCCACTCATAAACGGTAGAAAGCAGTAGTGACGATTACCGGTATTAAGGTTTTTCTTTGCCATCCGTGTTCCCGATAATAAAAATATGGCTATGTTTGAGGCGGACATAAGAAAGTTTTTCACTAGCGAAAAAGATTATGATGGAAAAACTGTAGACATAAGTAAGGTTCGGATAGAACATGTAAAAGCGTTTCCTATTCGTGGATATCATGTCGTATCTTCGTATTTACCTTTCAAAGAAAAATTGCTCTACAAATCATTCTAAAACATAAGCTGGAGACTGCCTCAGACGATAGATGCGCGTATTATATAGAAAAGTTGCCAGAGAATACAGAATATCGCTTTCCGGATGGAGTCTGTTAACCAATATGAATACAATATACAACGCTAGTTCACCACTTTGTTCACATGCTTTCTACATATCTATCAATAATCTCCAGCTTGTAGACGATCTCTCAATATTATGTAAAACTTATCCTTCTTCATTTATTACACACGATCGAAATGACATCAAATCCGAATTGGATTACAATCGTTTGTAAAAAATGAGAAAATTTTGTTAAAAGCATTTGCGTTATGCTAGGGAGCACTAGCTCCCGATATCGAACTCACTTATAATGGAGGGCAAATGTCCGGAATCCACGTCGAAATACAGATATCCGTTGGAACTACTATGGCGGGTTAGGCGAACCTTTTAATAAAGATTCCTTCCGTAGTGAGAAATTATGGGCAAAAACTTCGAGAAAGGAAGACAAGGGGCACGGAATGCTCGGTTTCACAGATAACAACAAAATAAAGAATCGGGGGAAGGTATCGAAATTACAATCTCTCCAGAGATAAATTTTAAAAAATCGGTTTTCCTCAAAATTCCAGGTTGCGTTCCAATCGATGTAATAGCATGTTGTAAAAAACTTTGTCCACGTTCTGAAAGACATGAGAAAATACTACGAGCAAAGCAAATAAAACTACCACGTCCGAAACTAAGGAAAACATGTGCAAAATTGCAGTCTCGTTGATCAATATCTTGTCAGCGTCTTATGATTGAAGAACATCATAAACGGAAGTGGCTTCTGTTGCGTTTGTATTATTGTTTGATTCACATTACTATGCCGGAGGTACGAAAGTTCGTAATCTCCTAGGCGCTGAAGCTTGGAAACGAGATATTCTAATTAGTATGATTATGTTCGAAAGGCCAGAATCAGGTAATTTTCCTGGTGCTTACCGTACGTATTTCCTCCAGACAAAGGCCTAGAAAATAAACGCCCCGTTACTGGTTTGAGCATTATTATGAACTATAATTTTTCCACCCGAAATAACTTTATAATCTGAAGAAGCGGACACCCTCATGAAAGAAAACAGAATTCTTCATAAAATCGAATTTCCTTTTAATGGTCGAACACTGCGCGCATGGTCAGTACGACATGAACAAGAAGGGTTTATATCCAGTAGTGTTGGAAGATCTTCTGAGTAAACGAAATGAAATGAAAACACGGCTCGCCGTACTTGCAAAGAAAAAGGAATAAATGAGACTAAAGAAGCTTTATCAGTATCCGAAAAGTCAGAATACAATTCCATTTGCTTTGAATATAATTGATTAGATTCGAAACGAAATTGTATATGAATTCATTTTACGGCGAAACAGGGGACACTCTTTCTCCATTATTTCTTCGTGAACTTGCTGGTAGCGTTACATCAGCAGGGCAGATTACATAGGGACAAAAGGCTACAAGATTAAGCATGGAGACACAGATTCTTTGTATCTTATCGCTCCGGATTGTTATTATGAAAAATGCGATTTAGCCTATAATAAAGGTGAGAGTAGCAAACAAGAATATTGGACTGAAATGATTAAAATTACTGAGTATAATGGGGAAATTACGCAATGAAGTAAATATCTATCTTAAATTAAAGGCCGAGCAACTTTAAAATGGGCTTATGAAGAGGTATTATTTCCTGTTTGCTTGACTGGGAAGAAAAATTATTTTGGAATCCCTCATATAGGTGTTCCGAATTTTAAACCCAAGAAGCTTTTTATTAGAGGAATCGATACTGTGAAAGTCTGAGGTTTTTAAAATTATTGGCGAGAAAATTATGTGGAAAGCTATGGAAATCGATAATGAAAATTCGCTTCAGAAAACATTATCAAAGAAGTTATAATGAAACCTAAGCAGTGGGAATACAATCAGTTTATTAAAACTGATACGTGGAAACCAAATGTACAGAACCAATCTGTTCAGCGCTTCATGGAACGATGCAAAAAAATTCGTGAAGATAAAATTCCCGATCCAGACGAGCGTTTCAGCTACGTAGTAGTTAAGGCCGATATGGATTTCGATTTATACGGCAAAAAGTATGCCTAACAAAAGGAGACCGAATAGAATTTGCTGACTTAATAATGAACTTGGAAAAGAATTAGATCTCTTCGAGACGGACTTCGTGCTCGTTTTATTATGTATGACAAAAGATATGAACCATCATCTTCTGAGTCGCGGAGTAAGGAGGCTAAACTTATACACCTTGAAGAGTCAGACTCGTAGAGCGAGGAGGCTCTCGCCGCTGAGAAGTATAAACTAATAAATAAATATTTCAAACTAAGCCGAAAAATGGCTCGAAAAATACATAAACGAGTTGAACGGTATCTCCGCTGAAAGGATGCGCGCTCGTGGAGTTGCATATCGCCGTGCTTATAAAAACGCTATCAAATAGCACGAGACATATTATATCAGAAAGTAGGTAAATTATACGAAATATTTCATGGTAATTAGTTAAATTACGAAGACTTTATAGTAATCCCGTTAGACAAATTATGGAAAAGTTTAAAGACTGACGAAATTATATCTACTAAAAGCGACATTTCTATAAAAAGTATACGTTCCGATCTTGCAAAACATTTAAATCCGCTTATTTCTATTATCAAAAAATATTATATATTTTTTCATAAATTAGTATATCATATGCGACATAAAAAGCGTATGTCCATTCCAGAAAAAATTGGCGCACCAGAAACTATGCGAAAAATGAAATAATAACGGAACAACCTGCCTTAGCCAGTATATCGAAAACTGATCAGTTAGCGCTCGACAGCTTTCCAAATACATGGAATAAGTCTGTTGACTTATGGCGCGCGCTTTGTACACAAGTAAATTAGAAGCAAAATCTCTCGCCCTGAGAGTTGTTTCAGCAGTGTATAATGCGAATAACGATTAAATTGGCGTTTAATAAAATGAAATGTTTCTGTGGTGCCACTAATCTGAATTTCAAGTATGTACAATGCTCGCAAGGAAGGAGCGAAAGATTATTAAAAAACTCAAAGAACATCTAGTTAAGCGAAATTAGTACAACAAAAATACGAAGCTAACAGAAGAACAAAAACATTAGTAGATGGGCAGTTTATAAAAAGAGGTAAAACTGATTATTGTAGCGTTGCTCATTACAGTTACGATTGAGTACAAAACGTTCATATGCCCCATTCCGATCAACAAGTAAGTAAGATCTATATCTTAGTCCGCGTAAAGTGCATTTATTTGGTATTCAAGATGAAGCAGTACGCGAACAAATTAATTATGTTCTCGATAAAGACGAAATTATTGGCAAAGGACCTAATATGCATGGTATTCGATGGAATTAAGAGATTGAATAAAGTAAAAAGTACTTAAAGATTACTTGTGACAATGCGGGAGGACAGAATAAAAACAATGCTACTATTTGATTATACCTGTAATTTGCAGTTATTATGAAAGTATTGAATTAAATTTCATGGACATACTAAATTCAAGTGTGATGGTAGTTTTGGATTGGTTAAGAAATTATATCGCAAACAACGGTAAATTGTGTGAACAATATTGTTGAAGTTGTGAATACAACTGGATTGAACAGCTCAGCGTTATGACAGAAAAGCTTAGATCTCAATTCTGTGTTGGGAATTTTCTTTAAAAAATTAAGTGGCTTGCAAAAATATCAGCATTTTCTTTTTGAAAGCAGCTAATCCTGGAATTGTCAAAGCTCAAATGGTTGCTAATGGTGCTTTTACTGAATTTAATCTATTGAAACCAGAAAAGCAAGTATTTCTTATTTTTGAAATTACCAAAAGAATTAATTTTTTTTCCATTATAATACTAACCCTCCTCCTTTAAATTACAAAAAGCAAGAGTATCTTTACCAAAACGTTTGTGCATTTGTCAGAGTAAGAGATGAGTCTAAAGACATTACTTGTCCAAAGCCAGTTTAAATATTCAAAACAACTGATTGTCTTTTTAAAAGAACAAATGGGTTATAATATATAAGTAAAGTTCTGTAAATGGAAAAAGGATTATTAATTGGCTTCTCTCTAAATAAGGGAAATTTTACCACTTGCTGGAATTGAGTCTTAATTCTATTAGCTAAAAGTTTGATTCTGGTTTGTTTTTTGGGAAAGGGAGGTGAAGGCTCAAGGTTTAAATAATCCTCTTGTCTTTCTCGCCGTTCCTTAATTCTTTTAGCAAGTATTTCTTTAATTTTTTTTTCTTTTTCTTGCAATTCTTGAATGTCAGGAATCTTGGTGTTTAAGGCCTCTTGAAGGTTAGCTAACTATTTTTCTCTTTTTTTTTCAAACCATTTATATGTTCTTGACAATCAGCAATTTCAGCTAATTCCTTATATTAATATGCCAGTTGTTGAATGTCTACCATTTCTTCAATGATTAGATTTAATACAACAGGTAATTTATTTTGAGAGTAAAATTGTTTTCGTCCTAAATACTCTCTAATCCAAACTGGCTGGCCTAGTTTAGTACTAGAGGTTTATTAAGTTTGCTAACTAATTCTCATTGTATTTTTCAGCTACTTTCTATAGACTCTGTTTATGTTGCTGAGTTCTTCAGAGATTTTTTAAACTGCCATTGTAATCAGCAAAGTTTTGGTATTCAGCATCACAATAGGTTACTTTGGTTTATTATTATTATTTTAGTTATTCATAATAAATATTTTTATATCTTATCAGTTCAAATTACTATTTAGTTTTTCTTTTTAAAAATATATGGAGCAATTTTCTCTCCTTGTTTCTTTTTTAAAATGCTTCTAATAGTGCTGTCATTCTTTCGTTCCATAGTGGATTTAATATAAATATTAATATAAATTAGCTTCATATTGATAATTTTAATATAGGTAATAGGGACAATCCTATATTAATCATGTTATGGTTTATTATTATATATATATTTATCACATTCTGGTATTGTAATTAGTATTAGTATGATAAAGTGAACATTAAAATTAATATTAACAAGTCCATAAGTTATGATGAGCACCATTATTACTTTTCAAAACGTCATCAGTCACACTGGTCAATTTTACAGCCACATCATAATCAGCCTCTCATTTATCAAATGTTCACTTTGTCTGGTTTTGTTGCAGTATGCCCCATATTAATGGTGGATTTAATGTAAATTAGTATTAGTTTATCTTAATATTTTTTTATAGAGATAATCCTATATTAAACATATTATAATTTTAAGTGATTTTAAAACTGTAATTTACATAAATTCATGTATAAGTTACAGCTTAAGCTGTGATACTGAAACATTAATTACTATTACCACATCCATTTATGTCACATAATAATAACTGAATTTTCACTCTGCCCCATATAAAATCATGCTTAAAAGAAGTTGAATTACTGTATTTTGACAAATTAAAATAGCGGTATGCAAAGCCAAACCTGGCATTTATTTGAACTATGTGTTTTGTTGCTCATATGCTACAAAAAATATACGTTCAGGCCCCGTCACATTTTGTTTCGCTATTATCACACAACATATGTATAGTGATATTAGAGAATGTTCCTATTTCGAATCGGGCCGACGACAAACGTGATATTAATATCAATGATAATAATAATAACTGTTCTGCAATAATACAGATAATAACAGCTTTATATTTCATATTAATGTATGCTCTTCCTATTTAGTCCATTATTTTGCCGACTATAAGAGTAATGATTTCAATCTTTCCTGTCTCTCGCCAAAACCGAGAATTTCCATATCGACGGTTTTCGCAACACATGCACAAGTGTTAGCAATATTTCATTGAAACCTTTGCTGTTGGCCTTTTCCTCCATTTCAAGCGGAATTAAATTGACTCGGTATCAGCATGTACACTCTGTCTAGCAGGCGCTGCGTTTATGCGTTTCCTTATATGAGACGTTATTTGTCCAACACGAATGGTCTGATTTCCAAATTTGACTTCGAAACTCTTGATGCGCGCCCTTCGGTGAATAGAAATCGAACACATACTACGAGAGATAGATGTAACCCTAAAGGCTGCCTTAAATGACTCCATTAGTATTCTCGCACTATTGTTGTTACCAAAATAACAGAGTTTTGTGCAACTCGTAGGCAAATGTCCAAAATGCAACGATACACAAGTTACCCGACACAAAGAAACGCCTTACTAGTTAGTATGAAACAATGATGGAGACATCTACAATGGACAGATATAAGCGAAGTTTCTGTGTCATTTAACCTGCTGCTTGTAAGTCAGGCCCGAAAACTCGTGATAAGAAAGTTCTCTTCGCACATATATTCCCAACTCCCCACTCTGGCGCTCGCGCTTCATTTTACAGGCATAGCACAATCTCTTTAATGGTATAGAAACATATTCTGCATAATCTGCTGAAGACCTGTCTGTACTTAGCCTTTTGCTGTAAATTGTGTGTATTATATCGATACAACATTAGAATGGAGTGGGGGTGCAAATGTACTCGCTGTAACAATCCTCGTTGGGAAGAAAGCTGGGGTCTTTCTCATTTCGACGAACAAAACCTCGCGTTGCGCTTGTGCGAATTATTTTTGCAAGCTGTGCAGAATGGACAGGATACATTAAAAGTTTCCTGCAATACTAAGTCGTTATGCCATCAGGATACTTGGAGCGTTCGGATTCATGACACTTTACGGACTTTCCACTCGGACTTTGTTTCTGTAGAATATAACTCTTCGACATCTACCTATGTCTACAAGTGGAAAGTCGAAACATCTTCAAGTCTAATAGATTATACGCTCGACGTTGCTAGCATTAAAATGACATCACTGCTACAGATATTCACTGAACAACAGAAGATGGCTGTCTTGAAACTAAAGAAACTTGTTGACGAGCCTTTATCAAGCGGAAATGCAGAATTGGCCCTGATGACAGATGTAATCAGAAATATGAAGAAATGGTTTTATGGATTTGAATTTGTTTATGATGTTGATCTGCAGACTGAAGATAGACGAGATATCGATGAGAAAGGTTGCATAGGGCTTTTGGTTCTCTCTTCCAGAGTTGGTATATTGGTAGTTATTGAGGTTCGACGATCAACCGGGGACAACAACCACAGGATAACGTCAAGAGAACACGCAAAAATGCTTAAGGCTAAGATAGCGGACAAATACTCCACCAAATGTATCACTACAATTGGTGCTCATTTCACTAGCGAGATGGATCAACCAGAGTTCCTGAGTAAACAGGACAAGATGATAGCTCAGTCTGTTTCCAAGTATTATGCATTGAATATATCAACCGATAACTCCAGAAAACGGCCTAGTAAGATTTTAAAGATTTTAACTATATTTTTGCTCATATATCTTATGGTTTCCTTTTTTTATTGACGGCATTTTTTCTACTTATATTCGTAATGCGTGTAGAAGAGTCCAAAGCCGCGATGCATCGTTCATGGAAAAAAGATTCTCCGAACAAACGCGCCAAACGTACGCAGACCGTTACGACGCTGAATTCATTGTCTGCTCCTCGTATGCTGGCGCAAGGTGTATATGAATCTGCTCGGCATAAATTTTGGAAAGTTGTACAATGTTATAAATTGACGGCTACGATTATAGGGCATGCTATTGTATTTACTGTACTTGCTGCAACAATTATTTTGATGCGTGGTACTGCCCATACGTCTAGGGTATCGTCATCAGAATTTATTAATCCATTATAATGACACAAAAATCGGAGTCTCAGTCAGCTGTATAACGGAAGGTCGTTCTGTGATTCATGATGTTACCGGGATTCAGCAGAAGAGTTAATAATTAAAAATCAATATACATATACATATATAGAAAGAGGACGAAGAGAGGAAGGGCCAAACAGAGATCAGTTTTCAGTGAATTCAGGTCTCTTGAATATCATGTAATAAATAATCGTATATCACCCTAATTTTCAAAATCTCGTGTGTTACGTCAGTCTTTATATTCACGTGTCAACCAGTGCTCTAATTATAGGGCAATACATTTAGTCGTGATGACACCTTTCAGCGTTGAGGACGCTGTAGTAATAATTAATGGTATATTTTGAAGTCATTACCATATACTTGGTAGTGTATTCCAAATTTGTGATAGAATATGACAGAAAGCGCACTCCTTCGCAGCGGTAATAATTGTGACAGATTAAAACGAAATCGGATTAAACCGAAATTTTTTCTATTTTAGTATGAAAACTATAAAATTTTTGGGTGGATAATTTTTAGTCTTTTTTTGGGAATTTGGGTTAGGATTTAGGATACCATTTGTTAGTAAAAGAGTATATGTGGGTTTCAAGGCATTAAAAGGAAACCCAAAAGACCCCAAAATTTCGTTTTAATCCGATTTCGCTTTAATCCGTCACCATATTGTTATAGGGCGAACGAAGCCCTCAGTATCGCTTAGCGCACAACTTTACTGCGGTTTTTTCAGTAATTGCCAAAAACATGATAAAAGCGAGTTCAATCTGCGTCAGAAACTTACGTCAAAGACAATTACATATCGCTACTCCGGGACGTACTTGAAATATCCTTTTAAGACTGTTAATTACTATTGACGAATGCATGTTTTGTATATATGAGCTTAACACTGGTCGAAAGCCTCAATCATATAGCCAAAAGTGATCCATTTTCTCCTATTGCTGATACATTAGTGCTCACCTTTTGATAGATTTGTAATCTGGTATGAATGACTAGAAATATGTTCCTCATAAATTGGTTTAGCGCCGAGTCATCGCCAACTCTAGCCAAGGTAGGAACAGCTTTTTGAGGACATGGAAAGCTGTTGTAATAGTCTACACGATTGACCTTCTTCTCAGCCTCCAATATCTTGATTATGGACTAAAAGAGCTAAAACATCTTGTTCAATGCGCATTTAATATTATATTAGCGAAGGATTTGCTGGCTGTAAAGACACTTTTAAGTCCATGTCAATTAGTGGTGCGGAAAGGTCGATCGTAATACTTGGCCCGCGATTGACTGAGTGGCAAATACAATCCTTAATTATTATTTTTATAACGCGCGTTATTTCCTATTATACCCAACTACATATGTAGTATGAAAATTATAAAATTTTTTGGGGGATAATTTTTAGCCTTTTTTTAGGAATTTGGGTTAGGATTTAGGATACCATTTGTTAGTAAAAGAGTATATTAATATGTGTGTTTCAAGGCATTAAAAGAAACCCAAAAGACTCGAGAATAACTATTTATATAGGTTTAGTGTCTATGACCTAGTGCAGCTAGTAGAACGGGAAAAAGGTTGGTTATATTTTTAGCTATCGCTGAGGTGAGCCACGCACTTTCGAGGGCCTAGCGAAATCTCAAACCGTGTTGATAGTCATACGCTCTCCCGTGACCGTTGACACGACAATATTAATATCTGTATACAGTAGATAACAAAAACCTGCCATTTCAGAAGAAGTTTCAGCTTTCATATTTCAAATACAATTCCTTATTGTGAATAACGGTAAAAGCTTTATGCAAATTGCATTGATTAGACTGCTATTTTTTGGGGGGGGGACTGTATATCGATATTGCTACCTTTCCTAAATTTAGACATTGGCAACGCGTTGTCTCTTAGTATGGTGTACACCAATCAATTTTTTCGATGCAATGTAACGCAAAAACTGCCCAATAAAATTAATAAGTTAATATCATGTGATGTATACCAAATCGTTTAGTTATATTGCAAATACAGTGACACCTCCCTAAATGCAACACCTCGGGACCGAGCGTTGCGTTGCATTTATGGGGGTTTTGCATTTATGGAGGGTTTCCTTATTAGGAAAGACTTTTAATAATTTACAGATTTTCCTTTATTATACTTTCCAGCTAACTCTACGGAAAAAGTTTACTATACATATTCCTA